GACTAATTTGGGCCAGATGATAGTCGACAGCATTCTGCGAGTGAATTCGTATGCATGATTGCTTTCAATAACATTCAGAACCCCGGCTTGATCCACAGAATGATCGTCAGCCACCAACGAATGTCGGCAACTCTCAGTCAAACAGTCCGTCGGTCCACGAAACAACGAGATGGAAAGAGCGAGAGAGTCTGAACGAAAATTCTCAACAGTTCCGATGAACAAGGCGAGCGACTTCGTCCCTCGTCGACATGGTTGAGGTTCTATGGCAGGCTCGTTCTCAGCCGCAACCACCGGTCGCCACCGCTTAGACGCTATGAGTGGCTATTCGAGCCGAAGAGGCGTCGGCGGCGCGGCGGCTGTGAAGACCAAGACGACGATCGTCGACCAACTTGACTGCCGCTCGACTTGTCTGAACTGTGATCCGCATGTCGTTGGAGGAGCGAAAGGCAGGGGGCTGGAGGGGTAGCAATGAATTCAGTGGTTAGTCGTCGCTCGGTCGCTCTCTCAACCTATTGATGAATCCGTAAGAAGTCTATCTGGCAAGGTTAGGCGGTGTCTTGCTCGGACTTCCCAATCGCTATTCAAACTCATGAGTGAATTGCTCTGTTGGCTCCCGGCTTCAATTCAGGTGGGGTTTGTTGCTATTCGCTGGCCTCTATCTTGCAGTTGGTGCTTAGTTGCTTATTGAAGACGACAAGCATCGAGAGGGAGAAATGGAGAGCATCGAGCCTTTATATGCTGTGGTGGCCGTGGTGGTGATGGTGGCGAAGTTGCGGCAGCATTCCATGCTTCTTCTCTCAAAGGGGGTGACTCATCTAAGAGTGAGTGACTGACTGAGGGGTGCCTCGTCGTTCTTTCTAAGCAAGCCACTCTCTCTTTTTATCTTTCTCAGTCGTCGAATGTCCCCAGTTGGTAATTGGGTGGGGAGATCTGGGCACAACTGGGGTTTGTCCTAGAGGCAAAGAAGAAGGGAAGGAGGGAGGGAGCGAACCAACCAGCCAGTAACTCAGCCGGCGGTCGGCGGGCGGGCGGGCAGGCAGCCGGTGAGGAAACCGGGGAATCAGTGAGTCGCCGAGCGATCGGCTCGGATGGGTAAGGAGAGTCGGGCTGGGAAATCAGAGGGTCATAGATGTGTCACTCGATTAGAACGATCCCTCGCTCTGCAGCACCGGTGCCGTTTTGCTCCCCCACCCCCTGACATTTCCGGATGCGCACCTTGTTGAGAAACATCAACGACCACCTCCATACTTGAGGCGACACTAGAATGGAGTAGTGCATCTTGTTCCTTATCCAATGCCTCTCCCCTTCCGAACTAATTTATGCGTCCTGAATATAATGATGATTGAAAGAGGACTTCCACCACCTGAGAGCATTTGCTGAATTTGTTTCTCGTCTCTCGCTCGCTTTTCTCGATCGAATCGGCAAACATATAGGAGCGGAAAATCGACGAAGTTGAGTGACTACGTACAAATAGCGAAGGCATGGCACCGTCAAACAGATTCATTACTGCGATCAGATAGGAACGACAAGAAGAGGGACGAAGTTTTGGATCCGTCGGATCCTCTCTGGCGCTCTTCTTTCTTGCCCGCTCGCTCAAGACCAGTGGTGATGCTGCTGTTGTTGGCGGCGGCGGCAGCGGCGGAGACGACTGCTGTTCGAATCGGAATGACGAAGAACGGGAAAGATGCTTGGTAGCCGTTTCTGTGTCTACTACTACTATGGCTGCTGCCGCTACTGCTGGTGCTGATGCCACAGCACAAAAGCACAACTTGTCCCCGAAATTCTCTTCCAAGGGGAAACCGTTAGTTAGACGTGGAACTGCAGCAGTAAGCTGCAGCTTGCTCCCGGATTCTTTCCGCTCGCTCGGTGCCCCGTTCGTCATTCGGATCGCTTGGCGAGCCCACTGGAATCCTCTCGTATTATCAGTCAAGCATGCGCCGCTCCCGTACGAATTCGTGACGTGTTCGTCCTGAACGCCGGGCACAAATGACTCCGAGATCATTCGCTATACAAGGACTCTCAGAGACGGGATCTCCTGACCAGGAAACTCCCCATTCGGTGGGTCGCAGAGAACTCCGACTCGCTGCTCTTTGACGGCTCTTCGTGGAACGATGAGCTTATTGAAGATCGACCAGGAGCCCATCGACCGCATGGATCACTTCAAACTCGTTCCCTGCTCACTTGATACTCGAACCCCCATTGTTTCGAATCGAAACGCTTGCGCAGGCTTCCCAAGCCGAAATAATCTGATGCGAGGTAAAGTGGCCTCGGCTTCTTTCGCACCTTCGAGGTCGCCTCCTACTGTTCGAGGGCGACGCGATGATCTGAGCTGGACTCCCGAATCGCACGTGTTCGGTGATTCTGATTCGAGAACCGCACAGAGCAGCAGCTAGATCCGTCGAGGATAAGCCCCCGGATCCGAGCGCAAGTTACGCGGCGAGATGCACTCCCGAGATCCAGCCTAAGCGAAACACATGAACTCGAGAACGCCTCACTGAGTCGAGTGCTTCGGAACGGAATGCCCGACTTGAGCAAACGCTGGATTTTCTGCGAGAACACCGGATTTATTGAAGCGATCGAGATTTTCGGAATTTGAAAAGGAGGTCTTTTCATTTGTACCATGGAAAGCTGCTTTAGATGACTGTCATGGTTCTCAGAAAATAATTGCGCAATGTCGGGCTGTCAGATTCCTAATGAGCCATTGTGGATTCCAATTGACTTCTTGATCGCGGAGCTATCGCCAGGAGCGCTCCGACGTCGCTATCGTAGCGGAATGAATTTTTCCAATCCAATGATCAAGCATTTGAGTGAGCAATATATCGATCACTAAATCGATCAAAAGGTAATTGATCATCATCACATATAATGATCAATCAATTACTTAATCAACAATAGATGCGGACCTCCCTCACAATCGGTCAGATAATGCGGCGGTAGGCGTCTTGTAATTATTGATATGTACACTCGGGACATGATTCTTCGAGACCTCTATCATTTCCGTCGAATTTCTCGCGTCATAATATGACTAGGTGCCGCTCCGATGAGATTGTCGGCTCGTAAGTCGAGAGTAATCCGCTTCTTCGCTCTCTCGCGTTCCGCGGAATGCTACAACACTGCTGCCGCCGCCGATGTCGTCGTCACCGCCGCCACCGCAACTACGATCGTGGACGACTAATACCACCACCATCGTCATTGGCGCCATCATCACCCTCATCACCATCGCTCCCAATCCCATTCTCCTACGATTGAAAATAGCGAAAATTATCCCATCTCTTGCTGGGATATGGTCTCCGATCGGAGTCATCGACGCCAACCCGAACCTCGAGGGACGATTTTTTTTTTATCATGTCTCTCTCCCTCTCATCCCCCTTCGAAGTCGCAGCGGAGGCTACCACGAGTCTTCTGCTTTATTGGAAAATATCGATTTGACTGAAAAATCCCAAACACTCCAATCGGAGCTCTTCATCGAAGTGAGCATCTGCGGAAGGTGTGTTTGCAAACGATTTGATTGCCACCCTTCGCGTGAGCCCGAAAATGAGCGCGAACCCGGACCGCTATGCTGTTGGTTTACCGACGAGCAAGCGGATCACAAAACGACTGCTCGGCCACCTCATTGACTGTGCAGATGACCGTCTCCTCGTTTAGTCCGTCAGTCTGTCAATCCCTTCGTCCATCCAAGCGTTCATTCATCAAACCATGCATCCATCGATCTACAGTGTCTTCACCGAGGCTGTTGCCGCCAGCCACAAGACGGTCAGCAGCGGCGGCGGTAAGGAGCAGATCCTTGTTTCTAAGCCAAGCAGGCAGAGTGGCAAGCAGGCGGGTAGGCAGACAAGCAGGCAGGCAGGCAAGCAAGCAGAGGAAGGAACCGGGCAAGCAGGCCGCCAGCCATCTCGCTGGATGGCGGGCTGCTCACACACAGCGAGACATGGCACTCAGTCGGTGGCTCGCACACTCGCAGCCCGCACACACACATCCAGAGACACAAGCACACGCACGCACGCACACACACACACGCGGACGGACTCACACACATCCAGCCTCACTCTCCTAAACGGGCACACATACAGCGCGGCGGCGGTGGCGGCGGCGGCAGCCTCCGCTCACAGCGCTCCGCTCGCCCATCGCGGCCGCTGTTGTGGAAGCTCGCTCCCTATCGTTGCTCGCTCGTTTCCTCCCTCCCCCTTTCGTCGAGCAGGCAGGCAGGCAGCGGTGGACGACGACGGGAAGGCAGCAGGCGAACAGGAATCCAGTCAAGCAGCGAGTTGGCTGACGACGACGGTGGCGGCTGCGAGCAAGCGAGCCATCGTCATTGTGAAAGTAGAGTTGCTCCGGGACGGTCATGCCGTTGCTGCTGCCGCTGCCACCGCTGCTGCCGCTGCCGCTACTCACTCCTCAGAGCTGCTCCATCGGGCGCTTTCTAACAACCGCCGATTAATCCTCCCCTTGAACTTTGTTCGTTCGGAAGCAAGCGGTCTGTTACACGACGACGACGTGAACGACTTCATGACTTTTTTGCAAGTTGTCGTCGACCACAACAACATTGAATACAACAACTTGTTCATCATCGTCGTCGGCGACAACAACAACATTGACAAGTTCAGCAACAACGTTGACAAGTTCGCCAACAACTTTATCTGCTGCTGTGGCTGCCATCGACATCACCACTCTTGGATTACTTCGTGTGTTCAATAAGTTGACCGCAGCAGCGTTATCAGCGCAAGAGGCTGCACTCAGGACTTATTGATAATTAAAAGGAAAAACACTGTGCCGTGCGGTCGTTGTTGTTGTTGACAACACCTGTGAAAACTTGTTGCGCGCTACATTCGAATTATTGTGTTTGTGATTTGTTTCCATCACCGCGCTGGTGCTGCTTGCTGTGCCGCTGCTGCCGCCAGCCCGCCACCCGTGCACTTCTTACTTGGAATCATCATCGGTTCACCGCCACCAGCAGTAGCAGCTCTTGTGCAAACGGATTGACTGACGGATTAATGATTGACATGTGTGTGAAGACCAACAACGAAGGTAAGCTCGCTCATTCAAGTCTAAACTAGCCTGCCAGTGGGCCGGTATCGGTGCTCTGACACTGGTTATCCCGGTTGCGTACACAGCACGGTTCGCAGTAGCAGCAGCTGCTGCCGCCGCCGCCGCGCCGCCGCTGCCACATTCCGATCAGCTGATTCGTGCTCTCGGAGTTCGCGAGCCGGTCTTTCGGGGAATTTTCGTCGAACTTCCGCGGATTTTTTTCGCTCGACGCCTGAGCTCTTTTCCTCGATTCTGACAAGGGAATTTCGCCCGAATGGCGCTCCGATCGCTCTGGGTGAAACTTTCGGATAACTTCCGGATATGCGTGCGATGCCGATTCGGTCGTGTTCGCTTCGAACGCGTCGTAATAGCGACTCGAGATTCTTAGATTGGCCCGTATCCGAGCGCGGAGTAGATACTGAGCGGAATTGAGATTCTGCGGTGATGGCTATCTATTGAAATCAGAGCTGATCGCCCATCGACGACTTGTCTCAGAGCGAGTATTGAATTTGAGGTGGTGACGCGTGCGCGGACATTTACTCTTCTCAGAGGAAGACAGTTTGAATCATTTTATTCAAGAAACAGTGACAACCACTTTGACGTCGACAACAACGATCGCATCGACAGCAACAACGACGACTATGGGCCTTGAGGCGCTGCTCTGGTCAAGGCCTCGTTTGTCTGGTCTGTGTGCGGGTGACACCGTTTCGGAATAATTTTCTGTTAGCAAATCGCTGCGCCTACATCATCCTGTTGCGTCCAACTTTTACGTGTCGCGTTCTCGGAATTTCGGTACCGGCTAAGGACCGATGAGTTCCGGCATCCTAGCCGCCGATTACCGTTCTCGATTCGATTATGAATCCCTGGTGTAGGATAATCTCATCGCTATCAGAAAATTGACGGATGGCTTAAAAGGAATCGGAATCTTTCCGGAGATCGATCAGAGATCTCCATCTGCTTGGACTACCTACCCGGCTCGATCACGGTGTGGTTTGAACCTTCGGTTTTCTCGCCGGATCAATCGGGGTCGGATGCCTCATTGCGGAACCGGGGGGACCGGGGAGCGACAAGCTCAGTTTTCTATTCGCTCCGATATCGATAATCACGACAATACAGCTTCTGGCTCGCTCGTTCGGCTTAGTGCGATTCGGCCGGGTTTAGGCTGGCCTAAATGGACGTCGTCTAGAATCTTTGCAGAAGCAACTCAATTTCACAATCGCCGTTTCGCAATCGGCTCTCGCAAGACATGTGTGTGTGTGAACGGTGTCGCGGCGCCGAAGCTGTTCGACTCAGAGCGAAACGGGTAACTGTTTTTCCCGTACACTCATCGCTCGGATCTGACATACGAGATTGTGTAGCAACTAGTCGACCTCTTTTCCGAATCGCGGACTGGTGATCGGTGTTGTGATTGATTTCATAGATCGTACTCGATTTGAGCACGGATTCTGGAGCGTTATCGAAATTTGTTGAGACACGTTGCCGCATGCTCCGAGCAAATTATCGCTAGGCATCGCTGATAACTTTTCGTGCTGGCAGCAATGTGAGTATTCAGCGATTGTTTCCGAATATGTTTCCGCGATTGGCAAAACTTTCGGCGGGCCGAAGCCGAAGTGGCGCCCCCTGGCGGCCAAGACTGTACTTAGTGAGTCTCGGCGGTCAGCCACAGAGCCATCTGATCATCCAGGCAAGCAGCTAGTCTGCTCGCCGTTGATTTTGTCTAGCAGTGTTGTTGAGAGACGCTCGACGGTATCATCATCATCATCATCCATATCGAAATACGGGGACCAAGAGGGGGCTATATACAGTCCTGAGAGGAAAAGCGAGCGAGTCAAATGAGCACTGTCGCCTGAAAACAGTGGACGAGAAAAGTGCTCCACTCCGGGTCCAGACTCCGGGCTGTTGCGTGCTTTGTCATAACTCGTCTTGGGGGATTTCATAATGGACGAAGAACGAACGCTTAGCAACAAATTGAATACGAGCCCGACGACTGGCCTCGCTCGGGCAAGAACGCAGAAGGCTCAGGACGCAATATCCAGGCATAACTTGCACGAGCTCGATGAACGGATGGACCTCATCGTTCCGGAACGTTTCTGAATACACAGAAACGAATGGAGCTCTCTAGCTCGGAGCCTCGGAGTCGGTTGAAGCCGAATTGATTGGCATCGAGGGTTCTCCAACTCGATTCTCGTGCGAAACGTCGGATCCGCATTTCTGATAACTCATCGTCATCATCGTCGATGAACCGCTCCGGAATCGCTTAATCACAGCGCTCCAATCCAAGCAGGAGGCATGCGTCGATACGGGGGCTTGCGAAGCGACTCAGCCCCGACGGACAGAGAAATGGGTCTTCGAATGGAGAACCGACCTCAGGGGTTGGCTTTCGACCATTCGGAACTTTGTTCGTGCGGTGGCCGGTGTGCAGACGGGCGGGCGGGCGAGCGGGCAGAAATTCAGTCAGGCCGACGAACCTACGTTGAAAGCAGAGCATGGATGGCTCATCGTCGAACAGCGAGTCAGGCCGAGCGACCAACCGACCGGCAGGCAGTCAGTCACTCGTTCACCCAGACGAGCAGGCCTCTTCGTGTGCAGAGAGCGCAGAGTGGGTTCCGGTGAGAATCCGGTTCAAGTGAGCACAGTGCCGCAACTACCAGATGGGCCATGTGAATGTATATTCTGGAGACGCGCTCAAGGGACGCCGTTCTTCTCAGGGGTAGCGAAAGCGGACAGGCAGGCACGCACTCACACACGCGCTCGATCACAAGGAGACGAGAAAACGACGAACACCGTAGAGACGACGAGAAAGAAGAAGAAGAAGTTAAGACATTTAAAAGCCGAACCTGTCCAGCGCCAGGATCCTTCGGCTCTTAATTCAAACTTTGCGGGTTGATATTCTTTTTGTTTACACGCCATGACATAGGGAATGAATTCAGTCCGTTTTTCGGGTCTTCCACGGTCCCCCCGTTGAAGCGCTTGAATCGGGGGAAGGGTACGGCGTCAATGCGCCGCCGTCTTGAAATAACGTGGCGGTGGGTCACAGGCTCCGGTGGGGAGAAAAACTAAGAATCACGGTTCGGAAGAAAAACGAGGGAGAAAACGAATAAGAGAAGGGGCGCTCAAGAAGGAACGCAAAGCAATCTGGTCCCGGAGCAGAGACGAATTTGTATTTTCGCTCGACAGTAAGCTCTCGTACAGCTCCTGTAGGCTCGCTCGCCCGTCCGCTCGCTCACTCGGTCCCATCCGTGGCTGCTTGACATCCTCCGAGGGAGAATGGAGAACGGAGGAAAGACGTCGTGCTTCGACGAGAGGGTGTGGTTGGTCCACGGTGGCCCGGAGGTGATTGTTTAGGTGTCGAGAGGGAAAATAACCAACAAAAGACGCAGTCTTTCCGGGAGAGTTTTTGCGGTGGGCTGCCCGGAGAGGGGCGGGCGAGGAAAGAAGAGCGTAGAGTCAGAGCTGGATTCGTCGAGGGAAAATCTTGCGATGTGCCGTGTCAAGCTGCTTCCCAATTCGTGATCGACTGTTGAGAGGAAAGCAGTGAATAAACAATCATCACGGAGAGATACGGGAAAATTGGGAAGCATGCAGCGGACGATGAGATTTGAGGATCGGCGATGAGGAGTGCCGCAAACGAAACGAAATCGGACTCCGTGCATCGGCGAGGAACGCATTCGTTCCACGTGGCTGGACGTCGATAGTCAGCTCCGGATCGGGAAGAAATGATTACGCTCTGGAGAACAGCTGTCCTCTTCTCATTGAGGGCGAGCTGCACTTCCCCGGGCTTTTCTGGCTACTTGTGAACTCTGTACGCTGCAATACTTTCTGGAATTCATTTTCCTTGCTCGAAGACCAGGAATCTCCGTCGAGGAGCGGGCAGGCTCATTCACGGAGTCGGACTGATGCTCGAGAGTCTTGTCACGCCTGACGGCTAGCGTAAGGGCCTTTACCCTGACCCTTCTACCCCTTCTCTCTTCCCGGAGCACGCCCCGGACGGAGAGCAACGCTCAAGCCCCGCCAAAGGGAAAGCGAGAACGCTGCCGTACTGTATAAACGCCAACATTAAAATGAATGATAGTTGAGATGCTTCTCATAGAGTCCGCGAACGACCACCAGTGCGTCAAGGATACAGCTGCAATGACCTGAGCGGCTTAGAGCCATGGCACTCGGGCCGCAAGACCCAGAGCTCGATTCTGTTCCCTCTCATCGTGGAAGTTTCTCTCCATTTGCCATGATGATGATTTCGTCCCGTCCCATCGAGTCCGCCGCTCGGAGGCTCTAAACGGGGACAGCTTCGCGCGAAGTAGACTAGGTCGGAGAGTTACGCATTTCTTGTCAAAAAGGACGGTGTTGATTCGGCGAGATTCACTGTTCATTCACCGACACCCCCCCTCCTTCTTCTCTCAGGAAACCGAATCGTCCGGCTCACCGGCTGGTTCCGGGAGTTGATCTGCACCCGTCCCTGTCGCACATTTCATGAAAAGATCTCGTATCCGACTCACCATCGAACGTCAGTTCTAAAAGAGAAATTATTCTTTCCAGGCGGGGAGCCTCCTCGGAGCGTTCAACAACAACTCCAACCAACTCAGGGACAGCATCAATCACAGCAACAATCCCAACCTCAACAATCTCAAGTGCAACAACAGACACAACTGCAGCAGCAGATGCAGCTGCAACATTTGCAACTCCAACATCAAACTCAACAACAACAGCATCAACAATCGCAGCAACATCTGACAGCCAAGAGAAGAAAACCTCTAGACGATCTTTCGGCTGCTGTTGTTGGGGATTGCAAACGGAATAGAATACTGGCCGATAGTCAAGAATTCCCTGAATCTCAAGAAAACCAGTTCCCGTCTCTGGCTCCTTCGTTAACGCATTCGCCCCCACTCGCGCATCAGCCTGTCACTCAGACTATGCCGGAAGACCTCATCATTCCTTCGCCACCGACCCGTAGACGATCCTTACTCATGTGGAACCCACGTCTCCGAGGTGAGCCATTCAGTCCTCGACTACTTTTAACTTAGAAACAAGAGGATGTACGGTATGAACGGAATTCAATCGACTACGACCGATGCCTCCGAATAAAATTAGATCGCTCTCGATGACGACATAAATTCTTCTCCCGCCCCCCGAGACCATTGGCAAGTGGACATTGTCTAACGTATGTTCTCTTTCGGAAATCTAGGGAAGGACGAACGTCGCAAGGTGTTGAAGATCTCGATCTCGAAGCTGAGGCTGATCGATGACCCTGAAGTATTCCTCCGGAGATCCGTTTTGGTGAACAACACCCTCAAAAAGCTGCAGAAGGAAATCCGCGATGAGAGATCATCCCAAAGATTCTACGACGTCCGGAATCCCTGGCGACCTGTCGCCGAGGAGACCTGCTTGGAAGCGATGGAGCCGCCGAGCAAACGCAGAAGAGAAACAGAGGCCGAACGTCTAGAGTCGTCCGATGAAGAAATTTTCGGCGTAAGCTCAGACGTCGTGCGTGTATCGGTTCCCAAACCCACTGGCGTGTCCTCGTCGTCGTCCTCATCGTCGAGCAGTGAAAGCGAAGACGAGAGCGCGGAACAGATGCTTCACAATTCGGGCGGCTTCAATTGTCAGACCTCGCCGCGCGACTCGAAAGAACAGTCATCGGTCACATGCGCCAGCCAGTTCCGAAGGTTAGAAGATAGTGTTTCGGTACTGGACTCCGTGGTTTACCACAGCCTCATCGCATCTCTCGAGTCGTGACTACTTCTACGGGCTCCAACTGACACACTCCAGTGTAGCAGTCAGCCCTTGTAAGCAAGCAAGCGAGCGAGTGAGTGAGTGAGCAACCATGCAAGCGCCCGTCATGTGTTAATTCTTCTCCGTGTAATATATTGTTGATGTTGCTGTAAATATAAACAGAACAAATTGCGAAGCGAATCCTCCAGCAAATCAGTGATCCGTGCAGAAAAGAGCACGATTGAATTCGCTTGATCGGTCGGAGAAAATGTTCTGAGCGAACATTTAGTTTGTAGCAAATGCAATTAGGTACGTAGTACAATCGAGAAAGAACGCCTGCCTTAAAACGAAACAGCGACGACGATGCTGGGAAGCTTGACGACAAAGACCCACGAGTTTCCACCTCTAAATGGACAAGGTATGACAATTCTCGTATGACTTCGTAACAGCGTGTGGCGTGGCGTCATGGTTTACGCCGGGCATATCAAAGCCGCCCGTAGCGTCCTCCATTAACGTCCGCGGGATAGCCGACTCGGAATTTCATCAGTTGAAATCTCGATCGTACTGTGAGCGCATCCGCCCCTATCGGGAGTTCCTAAGCGGAACAGCGAGTCCTACACCGAACCCTCCGTGGAGAATAATGTCAACGCTGTCATCGTCGTCGTCGCTGCGGTCACACCTACGCGTGTGGTGCGAAGTGTATCATAATGTGATATGGGACGAGCAAGAGTTTATGCTGTGTGCCAGAACCCCTCAAGCTTACCAAATATTGTGTGATATTCCAAAAAAAATCATCAATCTTCTGTCATCTGCGCCAGCAACGAACGTCGGCGGAAAACTATCAGGGGACGCTTACACTGGGAGGTCGCGACGGCAAAATGAATCTAACAATCACATATCGGATCGGAATCGGACGAAATGATCGGGACTAAATCCCCTCCACCCATCCCCGGGATCGACTCCTGCTTCCTAGGAGGGCCGACTTCCGCAAGAGCTGTGGAGAAGAAAATTGAAGAATCGCAATGCGTAAGCCTGAAAAGCGCTCACCGAAGGCGACAGCCCCCATGCGGAGCGACAAATATTACGGTGGCTAGATCTCATGACAACTACAAAGTGTTCTCCTTGCTACCAACTGACCTTCTGCCAATGAATCTACCTACCTGTCAGGAAGCCCGCCCCACCATCCACTGTACCGGCAAACCCAGCCCACGCAGTTCCCCCCAGTTCACTCGACGTTCGTAAGAGCTGAATCCCACTCGGAGATTCAACAACCACCTTTCCCCCAATTCACCGAGTCGCGAATGGGAGCAGGAGTGACGAGCAAAGAACCGCATTGACATATCCTATGCACTCGAAGTACCATCACAAGTACCTACCAGAAGATCTTGGAAGCGATGGAAGCTGAGCGAGGTTTTGGTGCTGGCAATCGCAGCTTTCTCCCTCGGAGCCTCAGAAACCAGCAGGGAAACAGCAGAATCGGTGACATATACCCTTGTGCAAGATTGCCTTATGATTCCACGATCGTCAACAGCAACAAGAATCGAAGTTACGGAACTTTTACTTTCGCCACAACAGGAAATTAGGAACGATGACGATTTCGCCGAACAAAGGAATGTCATTTGTTAATTTCGCAGCCTTGTAGCACTCTGAGCGCTCTCGCTAATCCTCCATCATAGAGATTATCCTATGACGATTTTGAGCATGTTTGACGGAAGAGATGAGAGAAATGTCCTCGGAAACAGTGGTCATCAAGGACACCATGGAATATATGTAATTAGAGCTGAGGACATGAGAGCAAATGAGGATTCTTGTGAAACAGAATGACACCCAATCGAAACAAGAGAGCTGTATTTAAGAACTACGACCGTCATACATATTATATTTCATTGATATCGAAGATAGTGAAGGATAATGGAGGCGACGAATGGATGACTTAAATCGAAGCGAATAAAATTTGGTATTTTCCTACATTTATGGACGTTCAATTAGGTACCGCCTTGCCTTGGGTTGCAGGGAGGAAATTTTCGCAACCGATATTCCTTATTCGTGCGAGAAGCGCTCCGGATGGCCGCGTTCTCCACCGGAACAGCCCTCCAGAGCGAATTCTATTCGTACTCCGGTTTCGGGGACGTTTCAAAATCAGAATCGTATCTGTCCAACCTATTGTCAGTAATGTGTGATGAAATGATGAGAACACGTCGTTCAGTTCCAGCGCTTTCCGAAGTTTTCTGTCGCCGAAGAAGGGGGACTTCCGGTTCGAAGCTCGGAAGAACAAGTTCAGGCTCCGGGTATTCGAGACTCGAGCTCCTGTCGCGGTGGATCCAAAGCTGAAATGGAACGATTGGGCAATCTTGTCATGTACGTTCGGCCTTTCAGCGCTATGGGAGCGCAGATCGAGCTTCACGTCGACGACACAATAAGCATTCGAATTTTGTGCGTCCCCAGTCCCCACTCTTCTCAGCAGAAGCTCCCGTTTCGCCTGGAAAGCCATGCTTGTGACCGGTCATACGCCGACTCTAAAACAACTGTGGCAACGGAATTCGTCACAGGAGAACTGGTCTGGTCATCTTTCAGGGCGCGAGAAGCCCAAAACAAGTTGCGATATTTTAACAGAGTGAAATCCATGTACGACCACAGATGGCCGAAGGCCATAGTGAATATGATGGATCAATGCGGAGTTAGGACATAGGCATATCGGAGAATGCAGGAGCTGGAGCGTGAATTCAAATGTGACGACATCACGTTAACTTTCACGCAAGAAGGAAAACCGCTCCAAGGAATTCTCGACAGAGCGATTAAAGGAAGAATTCGCGAGGTTGAAACAAGCAATTGGAAAAACTCGATTAGACTGAAAACTAGCCCGGCCCGATACAGGACAAATGCGACGGAACGAGGGGTAGCTAAGAACCCCTATGACAGCAGCAGAGGGTCCGCCTTACTGGCTCTTAGTCGAGCAGGGATGCTGAGGACGAGGAACAACAGGTCTTACTCCGAGCCGGGACTGGAATCCACTCGTGTCAAGTGTGGAATGGTACCGGAAACCATTGGCCACGTCATCTGCGAATGCAACGAAGCATTCTTCGAGGAAGAGGAAAAAATGAAACGACTGGGACTTGACAGAGATCCCTCCTCGAGGATGATACGCTACACCAAGAGACTCCTACAGCGGTGGGAGGAAGAAACTAGCAATATCCGCTGAGACTACTCGCCACTGAAGTGAAAGTGTCATTTAAGAAACTTAAATGAGGATAAATAAACACCAATACCAATACCAACAAACTTCCTCTGCCAACATTGTCTGACGCAGTGAACCTCTTTTGAAGTCCGTGCCTCTCAGAACGATCCTGCTATTCCTGGATAACTTGGGGGAGCTTCCGAAGAGCCAACAGAGGAATGGTTTACTCCTAGTGCCGGAAATGGTGAGACAGCACGAAGTCGAGGGGAAATAATCTTCGGCCGTGACAGGAGCAGGACGAAAAGAATGCTGAGGCCCTCGCGGAGCGGATCGCTGGACAATGAGTTCTGCAGTTTTCCCGCGTGAGCGCTAATATTGTGATAGAGGAAGAAGCCCTCGACTTTGGCGCTATCAATCGTTCTGCGATTCGAAGTGTCATATGCGCTTTCCCTCGCCTTTAATGACATTCGTCTGCTCTCTGCGCCTAACGCGCTCCAACGTCTCCTTGGTCCGCGTCTGGGAAGAAGTCGAAGTGTACGAAGTGAGCTCCGGAGCTCGAATTCGCGATGTGGGTCCGACATGGGACATTGTATCTTCAACTTCGGCGGAAGGTGGTCGCTGTGGATTCGAGTCAGGAGGAGACGCTCAAATGAGCTACTAAATAGAGGAGCGAATCGTTGCTGATTTTTGTACATACAATCAATGCTGTGCGAATGATCGAAGACGACGATTATGTGGGCCTTTATGGAGACTCGGAAGCGACGACCGGGGATATTCATTCGCGACGGTCGACTCCATGATCAGGATGTCAGCTCGACAGATCGTCAAGGTTCTCCGCGCAAGAACTCACAATATCGGATAGCGGAATGGGGAGAAACACATGGAATCTCTCCTCGGAGGATCACCGAATTGGCCGACTACAAATGTGTAGGTAGTGCTGGTACATTCAGGAGAGAACGAATGTTGAGTGGACTGTGGGAGAATATCCTGTGTCCAGAAGTGCAGGCGAGAACTTTGTTGCCGTCGTATCGATGAAGAATATCAATTACAATTCTAGAAGGGTTCCAATGCACTGTTTCCGAGGATCGGGCTTCATTCATGCCGATCTCAATAGTCGTGAGTCCCGACGTGATGGTGCATTCGATATCCGTAATCCTTGACAAGTTCACGGAAGGGGAAGTGTACTTGGATGCTGCTCTTTCGTTCAACGTCTCGGTGGGTCGAGAATCTGTCGAAATTCTCGAGCTTTTTAGCAGAGCGATCCCCTTGAAGGGGTTCCCCACGAAGTGCACAGACCGGTCTCACTCTTTATTGTTGGAGAAAGCGCGAATACTCGCTTGTCGGGTGTGTTTGCTTCTATACTCGATTAATTTCTCAATGTCCAAAAGTTTTTGCTGTGATATCTCACTGTCTCTCAAAATATAAACGTATCGTTGCAGCGTCTCATCAAGGACTGAAATTTTCGTATCGATGCTGGGCGCTTTCCGTTTCACTTTATCGGACATCCTGAGAACTCATCCAACTCGAATCGACAGATTCGATAAGCGACTGCTCTCAGTTTGTGAACAGATTCCGCGTTCCGCTTGTATGTATGAGCCAGCCGACCCTTGCACTCGCGCATCATGTGCACTTGTTATGATGGGAACGATTCGAGCACTGAAAGACTGCAACGGCTTTCACACTCGAATACCGGAGGATCGGTCCGTTGTAACCGTACTAAATATAAAGAGCACTATAGAATGCAGACTCCGGAAAAGGTCCACTGTAACCGGGAGACCGTTACATCCGAGTCCGCTCCAACCTGGTCTCTCAAAATGGTAAACTATAGGCACTTGGTCGGTACCGCCAGAAAAGTCCGTTATAACCGAGGGTCCTTATATCCGGGTCCGCCATAACGAGGTTCTACTCGATCAATTCGAATCCACAGGTTCTGATCTTGCCGGGAGAAGTCGCCCTGAGCCTTCAAAATTCGTTTTGAGCCCCGGTGATTTGAGCCCCGGTGATTTTGAACAGCGAAAATGCATCCATCGAGAATTTATCGAAATCCAGACAGACGAGCAAGTCGTCTTGAAGATGGGGGGAGGGGCCAGTATGGTGTCGCATTTCGGGCTACTTACATCTAGTGCTCTCGAAGACTGCAGGCTTTCCAAATCGATTGTCGGAGGGTTCTGTTTCACTACTCCTTTTGACGGAGTTCTTGCACGACGTCGGGAGGAGTTTGAGGATGCTTCATTATTATCGAGGCAAAAGACTGCTGTCGAAGAACCGTGGCGTTCCTCCGACGCAATGCGTGGTCCGGAACTTGTCGATTAGATTAAATATCGGCTCCAAGGGGATCCTTGCTATAGCGGATTTCGAGGGACCGGCTGGAACGGTCCGTTACACCCGAAGCTCGTTTTATCCGAACATGGGTTCTGAATCAGAATGGAACGTGGAAATGACCCGGAAGACCACCGCAACCGTTTTCGCGACGCGCACACGTGTGAGAATCTCGCGAATCGTCCACTAGGCTATAGCTTCCGAATTTCTCACCGACAAGGATGGGTCCGTCATGACCGTGTTGATCAGCATGGCTGGGAATGAGACCGGGGGCTTGAAATCAGTCTCTCACATTCGGGAATCTATTATCGGGGCGGCTGAAGCCGAGAGCCGAGTCGCTTGGAGTTCAAGGTCCTTGAGGCTCGTCCGGGACCGAGCGATCGTACCGGCGAGTGTCCGCTGTATTCGGCTCGGTTATTTCGAAGTTGTACGATGTGTCGAATGAAGTCATTCACGATCAGGATGTCTGTCGATTCGCTCATACCCTGAGTGTAGCTGCATTTGTACTTCGCCGCAAATTAGGCCAAATCTTCTGCCCATATGGGAATCTGATGGGTGCTCCCCAGCAATGCATCCGCATAGACTGATCGATGAGCCCGCCGAGGTGGGAGTCCCCGCTTGTTGAGAAAAAATCAAGCGATGAGCTTCCTGATTTGACCCCCTCCAAAGCCATGCGCGGCATCGTTTTCTACATCGCCCCCCTATCAAGCCTCGGAGAGTCGTTGCCCCTCCAGAAGTGAAGCAACAGTTCGGTTCGATTGACGAGGTCGAAATCCCATCATGATGCTCGCGGATCGGGAATCCTATCGGCGATCCTCGATGCCTTCAAATCCGATCCGTTGTCTCGTGAGATATCGGATATTGGAAAACTCAAGGAAGCTGCGTCTTTCACCTCCCCCGGGAACTTGGGGAGAGGGTGGTCGTCAGTCACCAACAGGTGAAGCTCCGTTCACCGATATTCTTCGGCGAGAAACACGAGGGATCGAAAATTCTGTCAGGCCACAGAAACGCTCTCGGAGGAGTTCCAAGACAAGTCTTTAGAGAAACCGTCCGAGCTTCGCACGCGTCTCACTCAGACAGGTGGGCCTGTCAGAGGTAAAGCTCTCTGGCCGTGTTTCTCCCTACGTCGAGGGAGATCCCCGGACGGGGCTCCAAAGAGATAGAGCCTATGATTCGCTTCCGGAACGAGGCTTCTGCCATCACTCACCCGGAGGCGGCGCGCCGAGCGCTTGCGATTTCGGGCTGCATGTAGGGGACATATCTGGCATGACGTCGGATGCAGCATCGAGCATGACGAGGAGCTCACGGCATACAACTGGCGGTGATCGACACCCTCATCCAGAAAACCGGGAAGATACGCGAGCAGTGCAATTCTCTAGCCGCTTATAATTTCGCGGGACCGCGGAAGAGCATTCGACGAAGTGCTCGCTATCGGCCGGGAAGAGGCAATCGCCGAGACCCGCCATGGGAGTGTTATTCGCAAGGTCCGAGATATCTGCCTTCGATCCGCTCAGACGGCAAGCAATGGGACTCTCCGAAGGACATTTACAGGACCTTGAGAGATCGGAATATTTTCCATCCATTAACGAGTGCAGTTCAATCCGAAGTCCTCGCTCGATAATATCATGCATGTTCCCCCTCACTGAGTATTCCTGAAATTAGCGAGAAAGAACCCTCCTCAGTCCTCAGTGCTCGTTGAATTCTCCTCTTTACAGGATGCGGCAGAATCTTTAGAAGTTCGGATTACGGCGCATGGATCCGGTGCCGGAGCTGCCGCTGCCGGCCTCTCTCGCTCTCGAACATTCGCTCTCTCCTACTCTACATGAGAGAGAGATTCCGTTACTCAATCGATAGACATCGTGGAACCGCTCATACGGTCTTGCCGCCTCCTCTCTGAATAACTCTGCGGCTTCCGAATGTCCGGAACGAATTTTCGTCTTAGAGAAAGAGTTTTCGTCTTCTTCTCTTGCACAAAGAGCACTAAAGCATCACCTCAAAACGTGCACGATCTCGGGTCGACAGTCGACATGAGATTTCGTTCGCGCACATTGTGAAATTCGATTCCTCCCAGAAAGCGTGATCCGTTCTGTATCGAAAGCTTTCGGAATAGTGCGAAGCTTGTCCCGATTTTGGATGAGAGAGCGTGTTTCGTGTTCTCAGAGAGCTTCCAGAGACTTTCAGAAAGCTCCGATAGTCCCGCTTTCTCCTCTCGGAACCGGTATGTAAACATCACAATCGAAGGATGATTGGTTCTTCAATGATTCGAATTCTCCATCTCTTCCACGAGAGCCCACCTGATCGACGTCCTGGCTCCGACGCGGGGGCTCGACCTCGTACCCTCGTACGAGTTTTCTTCAAACCGGGCGGAAATCAAAGAGGCGGTGGAGCTTCACAGGGTGCTTCGCACGTTCAAATTATACTCAACTCCATCTCCACAGCTACTCGATAGCGTCGCCGATTTCCAAGGGCAGCCGATTCCGAGCATGGGCTCCTCGATCAGGAATGATGTCGCGGTAAGTCCAACGCAGCCATGCAGCCCCTTTCGAACTAGGCGGTCGATGAGAGCGGAGCTCTTGGATCGAATGGATGGGGATGATTTTTCCACTCAAGGCGCGTTTTTCGATCAGATGGCGAGGATCGAAAAGGATTCTCTGCAACTCATCGAGGAGCAAGCTCGCTCGTACCAGGTCGAACTATTCGAGTACGCGAAGAAACACAACACCATTGTCTGTCTGGGTACCGGCACGGGTAAAACTTTCATCTCGGTCTTGTTGATTAAATACCTCGAACATCAAGTCACAGGACCCTGGCTCGACGAGTCGGGCCGCACTCCTGTCGGGAAACGTACGATTTTCCTCGCCCCGAACGTGCCGCTAGTTGAACAGCAGAGTGCCGTACTCGCCTGTCATATGACCGTCAAAGTAGGAACGTACGTCGGCTCTATGAATGTGAGTACTTTCCCAGCTCCGTGCCCTCGGAAATCCTCCACGGAGGGAAATTCGACCATGATCCTGGAAATTTCCTCCGATTACGAAACCCCGTATTCATCGGGAACCGAGAACTCGGTCAGACTTTCGCCATTGCCTCGATACGGAATGACGACTATTCTAGACGGACCGTTGGACCTCGGAGCACTGGAACAAGGAACTCCAGGAACACGGGGTCTTGGTAATGACGCCCGAAGTTTGCCGGATCGCAGTAGACCACGGCTTCATCCCCTTGGAGAACATCAATTTGCTCGTTCTCGACGAGTGCCATCGAGCCACCGGCGTGGATCCATACGTGAAGATCATGGAGAACTACAAGAATCTGAACGCTAACGATCGACCGAGAATTCTCGGTCTGACCGCGTCCGTGGTGAACGCCCAAGTGAGTAGCCTCGTTATAATTCCGCATTCTCGACTTCATCCGGCCTGGGGTTGATCTCCTATGTCGATTCGATAGGTACCTATATCGATCCGCTCATGCGACGCGACGTCGGCTCATCTCATTGACATTTTAGGTGCAAGGTTTCCAAGTCGCGAGAAAGTTCGGGATCTAGAAGCGTGCCTGTTCTCTACCGCGAGGACAGCCAGCCACAACGTCGTGCGGTTCGGAACGAAACCCGTCGAGATCATAGTTTCCCACGAAGATCACGACGCCGAGAAAGTCCTCCCCATAGACGAGGAGAAAGTCGCCCTCTTGAAAGACTGTGCGGACTTCGCTGAATTCAGGAAAATGATCAAGAACCTCGCCAAAACCTATGTGTCCTGCGGCGCCTTCTGTGCCAAGCAGCTACTCGAGTTCAGAGAGCGTGAACTCGACAAAGCTCTTAATCTTCCCGACTGTGCCGAGGGCTTCCGAGATCACGCTCATGTGAAACGCGACATCTACAAGGCGCTCAATGATTTCTTCGGACCTAAACCTTCGATTCACGATGTGCCTCCAAAAATGAAAACACTTCTTCAAATAATCAAGCAATTCGAAGGCAAGACCCTGTCTGCCGTCGTCTTCGTGCAAGAACGTCTGGTGGCCTACGTCCTATACATCTGGATGACACATCTATCGAGAGAAGACGAATTCAGTTTCGTGAACTGTTCCTTCATCGTCGGTCAGAACCAGGGCGCATACGGTCGCGACGTGGATCAGGAGAGCATGAAAATGAATGCCAAAGCCCAAAAGAAGGTCATGAGAGATTTCCGCGGGGGGATCTACAATCTCATGTTCGCGACATCCGTCATCGAAGAGGGAATGGACGTGCCTGCGTGCAATCTGATCGTGCGATTCGATCCTCCGATGGACGTCCGCTCGTACACGCAGTCGAAAGGCCGAGCGCGCGCGAAACCCTCGCTGTACGTTTTGCTCAGCTCCGAGAGTGAACTCGCTAAGACCAAGGCTCTCCTGGATTCCTACCAAGAGACCGAGCAGCTCGTCATGCATTGTTGCGGGATCGAGAGGAGCCCTCCCACGGCATCGCAAAGCCTGGAGTTCTTGAAAGAGGACCCCGACCTTCCCCCGTATGTCGTTGAGCACGCAAGAGCTCGGATAACGGCGCAGAGTGCGATCAGCGTCATTCATAGTTATTGCCAGCAATTCATGCGGATGAAGTACCCGAACGTTTTTCCGTTCTTCGACTTTGAAGAAACAGCCGGAGGCTACATCTGCACACTCACTATGCCGATCGTGTGTCCCTTACGCGAGAAAGTTTCGAATGCGACGCGTCCGTTCGAGAGCAAGGACAAGGCTAAAATGTTCGTCGCGCTAGAAATGTGCAAACGTCTGCATGCCTGTGGCGAACTCTCTGATAATCTTCTGCCGCGTAGACGACTCATCAACTTCTGCAAGCTCCCAACGAAGCGTGAAGACGTGAAAGCTTCGGAGGAACTCAGAGCCGTAAGTTCGATTGGATATCTACATCTTCACGAGCTCTCGAGAGGTCCTGGAACCCGGGGCCGCGGACGATTTCCCTTTCCGAACCCGAGTCGAATCCCGACATAAGGCTCGAAGATCATGCCATCAATCATCATTGTTGTGACAGATCAATCCGCTCCCTAAAATAATTTTCCACTCGAAATTCCCTGACCGAGGCTGCCTTTCAGGTGATGGTACTCAATGGTGTGAAAAGTCATCAGAAGAAACGCTACATCCTTCCGCGGAAACAGGCTGCCATCCTCGAACTGCGCGAAGAGAATATAGACTGCGAGCCCCGCGATTCTTATGAACTGTACGTGATCAAGACCGATGTCATCGCGTTCGCGTCAAACCTACAGAACTGGCGGGGAGAGGATCTCTTCGACCCTTCCAAGTATCCGACCTGGCTCGCGATCATCATGAGATCCGGAAGTTCTGAGTTGCTCAGTGTACCGAAGTTCTCGATCTTCACCAGATCGGGTGAGGAACGAGTCTCGTTCATAGATGCGGGACCAATCGGTCTTGATGACAAGCTGAAGAAGCTCTGCACAAGATTCAATAGATACGCTTTCCACGTGGTTTTGGAAACTATCGACGAAATGGTGGACCTCGCGACGAATTTCCATACTCCCTGTCTGGTTCCCGTGAAAGAGGTCGACAACGGCGGGACTTTCGAACTGGACATGGATGTCCTCCTCGCTCTCGGCCCGGCAAAACTTCCTGACTTCGAGAATTTCGTGTTCAAAGAGGAAGATTATGAGGATGCCGTGGTCGAGCTCCTCTATCACATAGATGAGAATCAAAAGAAACTTAGCAGGGACGCACACACGAAAGTTCCTCAAGATATCTATCGTCGATTCTACGTCACGAAACCCATCGCCACGAACGAGAAAGGCGTAGCCCTGACCCCTGAAACCACAGGATACTACGGATTCAACAAATCCATGAGTTTCGCCGACTATGCCCTCCGGAAGACCCTGCGAGCGGGCCCATCGAAATTACTGAAGGCACACCAGCCCGTGTTGACCGTGGAACACGCACATAAAAGATTGCAGATGTTGTACTCCCGCTTCGAAAATCAACAGGAACGTCGACAGAACTATGTCAGTGATTTCGGAACGAAATATCTTCTCCCGCAGTTCTGTGCCGTGCACTCGATTAAAGCAAGTCTCTGGCGGAAGATTTGTTCGATTCCGTCGATCCTCTATCGGTTGAACCGACTCCTCACAGCTGAAACTATCAGGCATGAAATCTCCGTCGCGTGTCGCCTGAAACAGCCACCGACCCCGTCCCCCGAGAAATGGTCGCCGATGGAGTTCAAACGTGGCGTCAAAGAGAAACTGATTGAAACCCCTGCCAGGGAGTTCGGTGCTCTCGTTCGTCAGTGTCAACAGGATTTCGATGCGTCAAATCTGCGAATTCCTGACGTGAGTCAACCGGATCTAAGGAACTGTTTGGGGCCGTCACCTTGTGACATCATGAAAGCTTTAACCACGAAAGCTTCTCAAGAAGTTTTCGATCTCGAACGTCTCGAGCTACTGGGCGACTCGTTTCTGCAAATCGTAGCCACATTCTCCGTTCTGGATAGGAATCCAAACATGAGCATCAGCGAGCTGAACGTTCTCCGCCAATACGAAGTCAACAATCGACATCTGTTGTGCCGGGCTCACGACAAAAAACTGACGAGTGTCCTCGAAGCTTATCCCTTCAAGGCGACGCACAACTTTTTACCGCTTGGATGCAGACCCATTCCTCATGAGGAAAAACTGCTCCGGCGTGACATTCTGTGCCTATTGGTGCAATGTTTCGACTACGATGAGGATCTCACACCGAAATTGAAGAATTTGCGTCACTGCAAGTTCATCCGCCGACTTCTCGAGAAATTCGCGAGAGAACAACCGAGTAACCTCCAGGAAATGGCAAGTTTTGAATTGCATCTCATTCCCATGTCCGATTCCATGCGTCACGCGTCGATCAATCCGCTTGTCGATGAATGTCCGAGTCTCGGAAGTCACAATAGTTCGAGAGCAATTATTTTACGAGGATCTTGTCCCCTCTTTTTCAGGCAAAATACGCGTTCCTTCAGGACGACCAGTTGCCATTACGCCACGACGTTCCGGTGAGGTCGTTCCACGATTTCAAGGCGAAGGTTGGGGGTGACGTCGTCGAAGCGTTAGCCGGCACCTACCTCGAGCAATGCGGCCCTATCGGTGCGCTCCGATTTTTCCGGTGGATTGGTATGGATCTCGGGGATACGGAGAGCAACAACTTCCTCGATGCGTTCAAGCTTGACTTCAGCGCTGCACAGAACATTCCCGCTGAATGCTTGAAATCCTACCAATATCTCATCGAGAAGGTCGAAAAACAAATCGACTTCACTTTCAAAAGTAAAGGTCTCGTCCTGCAAGCGATCACCCACCACTCCTGCAGAGACCATTTGCTGACCGAGGATTACAACAGATTAGCTTTCATCGGTGAAGCTGTCGCGGACTATCTTCTTACGTTATACATCTATGGACTGAGTTCGAACCTTGATCCGGGCCAGCTTAGCGACCTCAGATCCGCCCTGATAAACAATCAAGTCACGGCTTACGCGGTCGTCCGCGCCGAACTGCACACAGTCCTCCTCTACACAAACAGCAAGCTCTTCTCGGCCATCAGGAAGTACTTGGAGAATATCGACGACATCGGTCTACGACTGAACACAGTGCTCGGGGATTGGGAGACCGACGACGCCGAGGAAGCCGAAGTCCCGAGACCCCTCGCAAGGATTCTGCAGTCCATCCTCGGTGCCGTTTTCATCGACTCTGGGAAGAGCTTCGAAAGCGTTTGGCGCATACTCGTCAGAATAATGGGTCACGAGATCGCCCTGTTCTCGAGAAATGTGCCCATCCCGCCAACCACTGAGCTCTGCAAGAAGTTCCCTGGAACGGTCTTCAGTAAGGCCGTGCCCATACTTGAAGGTAAGCCGGGCAAATTAATTATCCAGCGTTCAATACTTTCTTCCACTTGGATATCCTCGAATTTTTTCATCACGTCCTACTCCAGAGATTCAGACATCGCGTCGCCTTCTTTCAGGTGAAGACGAAGGGAAATTCGAAGTAAAATTAACCGTGAGCAGGAACGGGAAAACCGAAACCTATTCCCAAATAGCAGAAAACAAGAAAATCGCGAAAACCACGCTAGCCAAGAGGTATCTCAGGAAGGTGGAGCGCGAGAAGAAACTCGAAGAGATAGAGGAGCTGAAGAGGGCTCATGTGACGCATGAGAGTGTACATACATTGAGTGACGTACTCTTGAATTCTGAGGTTCAGAAGTCGAAGTTCTACAGAACCAGGAGATGAGCCTTATCCGAGGAAGCTCGTCGGATAACCACGAATCCTGTGGTTCTGCAGCTGTGTACGTCGGTCAGTCTGAGCTCATGAGATTTGTGTTGATGATTCCGTTTTTTCATTTCGCTCATTTTCATTCTTATAGAACCCATCATGGGTGATGTGGCTGGGTTTGTGAAACATTCTGTACACTTGAGCGGCTCTGAGCGTAACGAACGCTTTCTAATAGATGGACGACCAAGCTTGTCATTATTTCTGTCAAAAGAGCCATCGATGCTCGATCGTTCAAAGTGAAACTTCGAAATAAATGTAGGCGGGCCGACTGAATCTATAGGGGCATTCATTCCTGAGCTCAAGGGCATTAAACAATTCGTCATCTAAGAAATCTTTAATTTATTCACGGAGATGTCATCGTCCTCTGGCGCCATCGCGAGGCATCGGGGCATTCGAACATAGAAATCTCTTGGATCTTCTTTTGATTTCCCGAAAAATATTGTCATTTTTCCTTCTTAAAAGCTCGGGTCTAGGCAACGAGCAGTCAGTAAAAGGGCAATTCGATAGTGAGGAGTGAAGTTCCTACGGGAGTGAGGTTTTGCTCGAGGCAGGCTCTCAAGCCCCGGCGACGCTCGTGCCTCCTCGGCGGTAGTCTGCGTTGGCGTGTAGACCATCCTCGCCAGCTGAAATCGCCGAGAAAGCGGAGAGCTCTTGGTCCAGCTCGATCTGAAACGAGAGTTCTCTGAATATGTACACCGACGAAGAATGTACGAAGCGTGTGGTTAGACGACGATTCTCGCCAGGGATCTACAAGGACTCGCCTCGTGACCTCGAAGAGCGAGTTCCCGGCGTAGAACTCCAGGAAATCCTTCCTGATAATAAAGCGTGTTCGGGCTCAACTGATGATGCAGTCTCGGAGAGTCGATGGATTCTTTGACACTAGCTCCCAAGTAGAGATGACGGAAAGCGACCTGGCGGAAGGAATTCTATGTGACGCCCCGAGACTTATGCGTCAGCACTATAACCTTAGCATCGGTTTCATGCTAACTTGAGCCACTCCACTGGTGATTCTTGTATGCCCAGCTCCGCCGAGAACAAGCACAGGTTGCAGGGTCTCCGTGTTCACCACGATCGCGGGTACCATGGAAGACATGGGACGCTTCCCCGCCTCCACGCCGTTTGGGAGTCCTCTGGCGGAAAAGTCAGCCATGTGATTGTTCAGGAGAATGCCCGTTTTCGGAGAGAGGATCCGGGAGCCAAACCTGATATTCAGAAAACATAGGCTTATGAGCTCCGACATGGCCGGGAACAATCATGCTCCCAACATGAAAACTAAGCTGTATGGCACTTACTGCTCATTGATTGAGCTCGTCACAGACACCGCTAAGCCGTCCGATGATAAAACGCTGACGTGTGAGGTACCAGAGTCTTCGGGTAAAGGACTGGCAGGTGAATAATATTCGGGAGAATGTGTGACGTTGTCGATTCTGGCTCTGATCTCGTTCGCAAACTCAGAAGACGCAATTTTGCGGAGGAGCTGGGGGAGGGAACTTCGAACTAGCTTCATTTATCACGGAGACGTGATTTGATCTCTTACAAAGATCCGCTTTTGGACTGGAGATATTATTCATCGACACACTTCTCTCTTCATGAGGAAATCCTCGTCAGCGAGATGAGTTTTCGCCGCTGAAGCGAACTTCAGTGCTTCAACGAGACGATGATTCATCAGCGAAGCTGTTTCTAGGCCTTCAGCATCCGTGGGTGACTGGTCGAAGCCGTCCATTATCCTGAGTATCAATGAGAGTATTTCTCCACTGGCTGATGGGTCCGCGATGCAAGAAATCGAACTTTGAGTTCTCTGTCGTTTCTGCTGTCTGACTTGCTTCAAAATTCTGGTTGCGAGCTCTGGGAGGAATGCCTCCGAGGAATTATTATAGCAACTAAGCGGACCTGGTGCGGGTGGGGCGAATAGGGTTACCCCTCGCAGAGGGAGCGACGACTCGACTGGCGATCTCACTCGAGCTTTGTAGTTCGATAGATCCTCGAGTTTTAGCGTGCCTCCTTGTCTTTGGATGTCTTCAATGAGTTGTCTGCCCACGGAGCCCTCGTAGAATTCAGACACCCCCCCTGAAAAAATGGATTCAAAAGTCTGATATCGAAGCGGTCCGGGCTTCTCATGTCCTCCGCGGACCGGCGATAATTTTCTCTGCGTTTGGGTGGTGACCAATAATAATTGAAGTGGGGCTCTTTCTACCCAACGATTTGATAGCTCTGTACCTTCACGGATGCTCTCGAGGGTGAAGGCCAACGGTCCGCAGAACATCGTTTCCCCCTCATGGAAGAGTCGATTCTCGGTGGGATGAAAAAACTGTTCCCTTGAGGGCGAAAAAGCATAAGTTAATCAAGAAGCTCAAGTCCGGAATCAGGAAACAGCGCCTACTAGCGATCGAACCTACTTCAAGGCTTGCGAAGCGCCGATCGCTTTCTCATTCTTTGCGAGCTTTGTCGCCAGATTATTAGAGACCTGAAATGAGGAATTCTCGTATTCGGTACAGGCCCAGCGAAGTGCCCAAGAGGGTCGAAGTCTCGCGGCCAGATGATCATAATCCCCACATAATCATGATATCAACACAGGTCTTTCCTTCCGTTTCTAATCAGAGGATCGGGAGGAAATCGTGTTTTTCTGCGCACGTTCTCGAGTGGGGACAACGACTCACATTGAAACCATTCCTGCAGAGCTCGATGGCGGGCTGTACCAGATCTTTCCATGATAGTTTTCCGAATCTCTTGTGGGCTTCCTCATAGGCTCTCAGCTCGCCGGGAACAGCGATTGATAGCGGCCCCGTTTCCAATAAATTCTGAATTGGAAGCGGCGCGTGAGATATCTCATCGATATCGCCCATCTTTATTACCGAGTTTCGGGAGAGGATTCACACAAACCATGGGCGTATGCTCAGAAGAGGCGGGGGCTACCTCACGCCCGTCGATGATGGTGGCTCTGCGTGTATTCCTGGAAGATACAAGCCATGAGCCGCGATACGGATTGCCCTGAAGGGTCCCACAGGCATACACGGTCATCCGGAGCGACTATGCGAATAACAACGGACAGACCTGTCGTAGATATTGAAAATCACTCCGCCGCCTATGCCCATGGTGTCAGGGTGGACTACCCCGTTACAGAAGAGAGTAGCGATTGCGGCATCCACCGAACTTCCGCCTTTCTCCATCATTTCGCTGCAAAGGAGGCGGAGAAATGTTTTGTGAAGCATTGCTCCTTCATTGAATCGTCACACCCACATCGTAAATGCACCGCGGATATGCACTCACGATCCGATTTGCGCGCAATACGGCGCATCTGAGGTGATTGCATATCTTGTGAAATTATGCAGTGGATTCAAAGACTGGGGAGTCTCCAAACTAAAATATTCGGCGCGATGTGCTTGCAGCTTCGGGAGTCCAATCGTGAGCGTGGCTGCGATGCAGCCTCCCGCTAAGATAATTAAAATCACAACGACTGCAGCATCTGACTTCGTGAAGTGCGTTCTGTAAGCAGGAAAGGTGCAGAGACGGTTATTCTTCGAGGCTCGACCGACCATTCGAAAATGAGAAGATTTTTGGATGAATAGACGCAGACTGCGGACGATTCGGGAATTGTTTCGACGAGCCTGAACGGACAGTCCCAATGCCCGCGGCACCACTCCACACACTAAATTGAGCTCACTCGGTGAGAAAAGATCGTGATGGTCCCTTGTTTGCTTCCACGGAGCCGTAGGGCTGAGACGACCTGTCGACCCGCAACAAGCTGGACTTTTCCGAAGTCATGTCAAAGCACAAACTTTCCCCGAACCGCTCCGGTTCTGCTCCGCTCAGGGACGCTTTTCATGCATGAGTCGAAAGGATCGGGTGCTCCAACTGTCGCTGGATGAGCAAAACACGCTTTGGAACGAGCGATCCAGGGTATTTCGAGATCAAAACAATCTCTCCCCGAAAGGTAGAGAAGGATGGAAGCTCTTTGCCTGTCGACATCGACAGGATGAGACAGCAGTATTCGAATCGATCGTCCGTCGTCGAATGTTCGACAGAGAGACGCTCCAATCGCTTCTTCGTTCAGGAATCCTCATGGCGCATGGCGTTGAATCTGCTTGATTATATCATCGCAAGAGGAGGACTCCAAGCTCTGGTAGGTGTCAGGAATATTCACTTCGGAGTCTCGATCGCAAGACCGACTACAGAAAGAAACTCACCTCGAGAATTCTGATCCCCGGCTCGGGATGAGTGATTCATTCAAATTTTCGAAAACGTCATCAGGAATATCCTCACACGGAAGAGACTGAAAGTCTTCGGAATCTTGGCGCTTCGCCATTGATTGTTCACCGTGAACGGGGAATCAATTCGGGTTCCGGAGAGACTCGGAGCGAGGTGCGAGAAATTCAGCCGAGTCTTTTGGGCCCTCGATGAAATTCAACAACCCGATCAGTCCCTTATCAGCTGGACGTGTTTTGAGCAGTGTGGGACGTATCTATGAATACGACATACGATTGGCGCAATCTCCGGTACATCGGCGAGACATCGAAACTTCCGGAACCCACCATCTCCATCGCGAGAACTGGCCAAGGAAATGCTTCCCGTGGACGTGTTCCCGAGCTCTAGCCTCGAGCTTGCACATCCTCAGTGAAGCCGAACAGCATGAAATAGAGCCAGGAGGTCACGAGGATCAAAGTGAAGACGAATACGACCAGACACTCTGCGAAAGTCAGGACTCCATGAATTTCTCAGTATCGCATCGGGTCGATCCGACGAAACGCAAGCTGATTCTCCCTCAAATTCTATTTACCTTTGCAGAATTCCAGTTCGCGGCGAAGGTCCCCGATGAAGTATTCCTCAAGGCCTAACATCGTCCTGATGCGAGAGAGCTGCTCGTGCTGAGAACTGGCACCCAGTGAATAGGAATGAATGGCTCGGGTGGCAGAATCAATACTAAAGGTGTAGATAGCGAATGGTAAATAGAAACCCCAATAGGATAACGATGCCGGTGGACGAATATGTATGATAGAAAGAAGCTTCAACAATTCGACTTTTAGGAGAATAGAGTACAGTCTCACTTCGAGGGTCGTCTCGATGAACATCATTTTGGTTCATCGTTCCCAGCTAGACAGTTACTAGGCTCGATACTCGATTTTCGCGGTCGAACCGGATAAACAATCGAGACGGAGTTACCGCTCATCATAAATACCCCTATTCCAGAGGGAGACAGGGCGTATGCACTGTTGGTCCGCGTCAGTTCGGGCATACACCATTCTAATATATATTGATGGCGTACGGAATCTGGTGGCTCGAATGCAGTCTTCTTTATTTATGCATCTTCCTATACGAACAAATAGCTCCGACGCGTCCGAATCAAGTTCGGCTCCAGACGCCTAGCGGAATACAGGAGACGACTCAGAACATCGATTTCCTCGAGAGCTGGTAAATGTGGTATCGGTCCCTACTCGAAAAAAGTGGACATGTCTATTTTCTGGAAGAAGCTCTCAGCCGCGTGCCGAACTCCTTGCTCGATTTTCGCACGGAGTTCACTTTTTCGGGCCCGCAAGAAGTCATTGAGAAACTTCCGCACGAGCCAGTTGAATGCAGGCGTCACCCCAGTGATCTTTGTGACGCGAAGGTTCTCCATCTCAAGTATTTCGAAACGGTCCAAATGTATCGCTTTTTCATTGGCCTACAACAACAACTTTTCTCACGGACGCTGAACGATCGTCACTCCATAAAAGGCATGCTCCGGAGGAATTCCGGATTCCAATGGGTCTCGGATGGCAAGGTCTATGGGGGGGATCTAGCCTCGTGAGCGGAAACAGAAGACAGACTCACTTCCAGCACGGCGAAACAACCGATCCTGTCGATGCCAACACCGAACGCACCATGGATAGGCGTCAAGTTGAGTAGCCAGTAAACATACATGCCATAGCAGTGGATACGTCCGAGGGCGAAACTCAAGGAGAGGTGAAATTCGTTCCCCGCGAAGGTGAACTCGATGTTGCCGGACCGCTTAGCTGTGAGAAGACCGTAAACTGAAAGCTGAAATACGCCCCGACAATCAGAACTCTCTGCTCCCTGTTCATTCGAGACTCGAGGTCAAGTCGCACATGCATGGACAAGACGCAGGGAGTGACTTGGGCACACTTACATCGAACACCTTACCATGAGTCATCTTGATACTGTCGATTTTCAGAGGATTCAGACGCGACAACACTTGAGAATCCTGCCGCGAGAGGTTCAATAAGTTCTGTAGGTATGCATCGAAATCGTCTGGAAACAGCGGGGCTCGATCTTATAAGCGATCAGCGGGAGAACTGGATAAAATGATGGTTCAGTCTTCGGTCAGTCGATCAGTACTCACTTGTCCAATTAAAAGACTCGAACCCATCGTGGAGCTCGGTCTCTCGTATCCAGAGATCGGTGAAAGCCAGAACCATTCGGAAGGCTATGAGCAATGAGAATGTACCGAGGATGATGCTCGTTGTCTACTGGAATAATAATCCACCAACTCTGAGAAATCCATAATGAGCTCGGAGATATCTCGGCGTGGAAACTCTCCTCCTACGAAACTATTATTTAGTCAGCACAGCTCGAGGACGTGCATGGTGGTTGCTGCTAATGCGCTCCCGAAGTCTATTACATGGAGTCGTCTTTCGCGAAGTCGAGCTTCACGCTCCCTTTTCTCCGGAGACGGAACTCTCGCAACTCGGCTTGCGGCCTCGGTCGTCTCTGACTCAAATATAGAGTCCGTGGGATGCATTTCATATTTCATCATTTGTCAAAGCAGGGTCTCAGGAGGTTGTCTGGGACGTAAGTCGTGAGCGATCTCATCGTTGTTGCTCCACCTAAACTCAAAGAGCGAAATGGTAAGCTCATCGCCGAAATCTCTTGACTTCTCGCATGGCTGAGCTGCTTATGCTCGGTCGACGGCGAAATCGCAAACAATCGAATACTTCGGACTCTGCCCGTCGACCGTGCTCATCTCGTGACTGGATGTCCGGCTGCCTGAGACGCGACATTCGGAAGTGCGGCACCAAAAATTCCCCAGAAATATCAGGGATCGCGTCGAGCGTATGAATGTCGGAAACATTCGGACCTCGAGGTGGAAGCGGCAGACGAGGGGAATGGAATGTTCAAGCCCCGAAGACATGACGTGCACCAGCGCTACCAAAATATTAATTGCTGTCCGTAGAATACCCTGTTCTGAATCCCTCACGTGTCTCATATGGAACTCCGCGCGCAGGAACGAACCATGGCGCCCAATGTCCAAACCCCATTGACCTCAACGCCGTCCAGAAGCTCTGAAATTCACCCGGGCCCATCAAATCCAGAAAACTCCGATGATAGTCTGATGGAGGGAGGAAACGAAGTTCCGCAAGGAGGAGATTCCAGATTTCAGCCAGAGAATGAGAAACATCAGTTGTCTCGTCTCAATAGCAGGTTAGCATGTTTGACGACCCTGGTCCCGATGATGCTCTATTCCCCCCAACTATGAGAATTTGTAGGTCTTTCGGAAGAATAAATCTGTCATTGATTGTATCAGGTTGGCAAGTTACATACACCGAGTGAACGAATTGCAACACGAAAACCAGCATCTTCACGAGACTCTCCGTCGTGTGGAGAAGAAGACAACGATCGAGACGACGTCGGTGAAGAACAGCTTCCACAAGCAGGTTGAAACCTTAAGGGGTGTAATCAGCGACGAAGCCAAACTCCGAGCCACCGCTGAAGCCGAGGTGAAGGCACTGCAGAAATCGATCGAGCGACTGACTTCATGGTAAGTCCCGGATCACTTCTTGGAATCGGAGAGGCCGGAGCGAGGATCGATTGGCAGACCTCCTCCTCCTCGCTGTGCTGCACTCTTACCACCCGTCTAGCTGCTCGGAAGTGATGACCAGAGCTTGAATTCTCGGGAATTTTTTCATCATGATTATTTATTCTTGTCAATCACTTAAAGGAACGCTACGTTGAAGCAAGATCTTGACAGAGCTACGTGTCGATTGAATACTCTAGAAACAGACAACGCGGATCTCCGATCCAAGCATCAAAACGCCACGATACAAAGTTTGCAGCGGCAGAAAGACTTCGAAGCATCGCAAAAGCAATTAGCCGAGGCTGAGAATCGTATGAAAACACTTTTTATCGAGAACGTGACGCTCAAGGAGAAGAACAGCAGCCGTAAGTATTGAACCCTGCGCCGCGACATGAAAGAACGCAAGTCATTTAAATTTCTCGCTGCGTGTCGACTCGTCGCGCGAGCTCACGTCGATGCTCTAAATCTCATGAGCCGATCTCCGTTCCAGTAACGGAAGAAAACAGGAATCTGATGCAGAGGCACGAGGAACAAATCGAAGAAATTCGTAAAGTAACCGAAAGCGAGATCGTCGAAGTCAGCAGCAGGGTTCAAGCTCGTGCTCAATCTAATTTGCAGACGCAAATTGAAGACTTTCGCAAGATCTACGAGTCGAGAGCAGAAGAGCAGAGGAAGCTCTTCGAAGAAGAAAAGGAGCGACTTTTGTCGCAGCTCGTTTCAAAGCAAATCCACGACCAGGTCAGACAGCAAGCGGGATCCCTCAAGGCCCAAGTTCGCGAGTTGCAGAAAGAGCTCGATGATAAGAAGCGACTCCTCAATCAAGAGCGCTCATGGTCCACGGAGCATTTGCGTCTGAAGGATGAAGTGATACAAGAAGCCAATGAGAGATTCAGAGATCTGAAGGAGTCTTACGATAAGCTGTCCAATGAGAAGCGAGACCTTCAGAACGAGCTCGACGTCTACAGGTCGGTACCAAGCGGGAAAAAGCGCGCAAGACTTTCAAGTTTTTGGCCCCTTTTCTGACGACGCCGAATAAAGTCTTCCGTACATATTCTCCGATTCTGGAGCCTTCTTCACAGATCCCTTGATTCTAGCCGATGACTTTACAGAGTGCTCCTAGAGCGAGAAGAAGGTCGCCTCAATCTCTCAGGTTCCGCGAGCTCGGGACACGCGAGCTCGGGTCATTTCAGTCTTTCAAACTCGCCCAGTACTCCGGCGAGCTTCCCGAGTTCCTCATCGAGCGCGCCCAGCACTTCGAGCAATCAGGAAGCCTCAACCACGCGGAAGCGGAAGAGACTGTCCTCCGGCTTCGAGAGCGCAGGTAGCTGCGAGCATAGAGATATCGAAACCAAGTCCGGCTGTTGGGGTCCAATAAGAATCGCTGATCACGACACCGGTAGCGGCAAATTCATCGTTCTCGAGAACACCACCGACGATGACGTGGCGCTGGGCAGATGGAGGATCGTCCAGCGGAGTGGAGAACAGAAAGTAAGCTTTCCTCCCCGTGTCGATGGAAAATTGTTGGTTTCGCTCCCTGAATCATTCATATTGGTCGAATTTCAGCTAACGCGATATCTGGACGGCGTTGCAGGCATGTCATCGGTTCCCGCTGCAGTTCTCGATGAAAGCTAAGCAAAGAATTACGTTGTGGTCTGCGAACTCGAAGAAGCAGCATTGTCCTCCGAAGGATTACGTTCTCAGAAAGATTGTTTTCCCTTGGAGTGGACCCGGAGACGTGGATCTGTCGACAACGATTTTCAACCCTCAGGGCAAGAGGATGGCTAAACGAGTCAGTCGCCTCCGCTCATTCTCGTCGCGGTATTCGCAGAAGTCTCAAGACTTCGACGACGAAGACGTAGAGTCGGTGATGGAAGACGAGCCTGACGCTCCGACAGCCACTCTCGACGACACAAGCTGTTCTGTGATGTGAAATCTTTACGCACCTGATGATTTACGAGAACAATCTTCCAGGAGCATTGCGAGGGGCTCATTGAGCGTGTTTGGGACGGGGATCTACACAGTCTTTTAATTGTATTTACATTACATAGGTGAACCCACGCGAAAGATCCTCTCTCGGTCCATGTCTTATTCAGTGCTTTTGTCGTTCGCAGAACATAACTTCCAATCACGTCAATTGATCTCAGCTCTCGGGAAGGGGAAATGCTGCGTTCTGGGGGTTTTTAGGCTGCATTGATGAACCGTGACTGAATAGAGCTCCTCTGAGTAATCATCATCATCTGTACAGCGGTTCTTAATCAACGATATTTTTCCTTTGTAGTGCTGGATAGATCGGGCAAGACGCGTACCCATATTTTACCGCTTGGAATATTTTACTCAATACCGCTGGCTGAATATTAATGTAGAATGTTTGTACCTTTCAAATATTTTGTACGGGACGTCGAGATTACGGATTTAATAAAACTTCCCTCTTGGGAGCATATCTAACTTTGATTTCCCATTGTAGAGCGTGTTCCGCGCCAGTCGAAGTGGATCCCCATGTCTTCGGAAACTCTGTGGGGACTCCTGGTTCCGAGTGAAGCTTCATGTTGATTCCTCTGTGATTTTCAAGGCTTGCGCTTTCGTCTTCCTCGAGTCCTTCCCCAGCCCTGATCGATCAATTTCCATCCATCCTTTTCGGGACAGATAGCGAACGTTGGAATCCGAACCTCTAATGGCTACTCCGCACGATCTCGAGGTCGCTCCAAAGAGGTTTGTTTCAGGCGTCCTCTCTCGGCGTAAATCGTGACCTCGGAGCTCACAGGCCACCCCTGCGAGCTTCTGATTGCGCGTCAACAATCGCGAAACTTTGTCGAAACTCATGAGCTTGGTATTCAAGCGGGAACTTCTCCATCGATGATCTTAATCAGAGTCGACGACCATCGGCTCCCCAGTTGCCTTCGAGGAGTCTGCGAGAATCGCTTCTCATCGTTGAGGGAGACCTCTATAGACTCCAAGAATCGTCCAAAGGTACTTAATCTGATTTTTCCCGTAGATGTTGTGCGGCTTGAGTTCGGGCGGGTCTACCTGGGATGCCTGCGCTGGACTTTATCCGGGAGCAGTATTCCACTCAATATCCGAGATATGGCATATACAGCGGTGATTAAGAACCGATTGAGAATGTCTGTCTTCAGGACTCATATGCGGGCTGTTTATTGGTATCTATTCCTCTTATAGCTTCGCTTCCTTCGCCCCACAACGTATCCATGGAACGCCAGATCCCGCCGACGGTCTCTAGGCTCGTCGCACAGGTGGGTGAAATACCGGATCGAGCACGGTGACTGGCAGCATTTCCTCCCGAATTCCTCCAAGGAACTGACGCCGACTGGAAAAAGTTTCCGTGGAGACTACGAATTGCGTGAGAAGCTCTCAGCCACAGACGTTGTGGAACATCATGGTCGGATTCCGGAGGATTTCAGTCCATCGAGCGCGAGTCTAGCGCCTAACAGAAATTTTATACACGGATGTTGAGTGACGGGAGTTCCACTTACGATAAAGGTGAGCCCCGGTCGGTGGATGTGCACATGTTGTCTCCATCGCATCCCAGAGGTCTTCGGACTTGCACACTGTGAAGTATGGGGGCTCCATGACCAACTGCGCGGAACCCACACCGCTCAGTGCAAGGCAAAGCAGTAACGTGGCGGCGATCATCTATAATTTACCATAGCGATGAAGTCAGAGTACAGTACTCCTGGGGCACTCAGAGTGGCTCTCAGAGACACAGGATCAATTTCTTCACGATCAGCACCCTCAGAACCCATAGGATCCTCGCACAGATCGCTAAAATGAAGCTCATTCTGGATCCCGCGAGATTCGCCGGAGATTCGACGTACTTCAGCTTCAGAGGGCCCGAACGAAAGCGTCTGCCACCATCAAAGCTCGACAGAATATTCCGAGTCGGGTACTGAGAGCATCTTTATAATGACACTCTCGGTGACAGAAAGCGATAAATTAGACGCGCCGAGGAACTATCGCCGTTGGAATTGCATGTCGTGAGCGCTTTGAATGTCGTGCAGGAGATTCCTGCGGAGACAGATTATTCGTCTAGATTGCATTATGCCGCGGAGAAGCCTTCAGTCGCGTGAATCTTGATCTACTAGTCGGAATCCGATAGGTATACCCATCAGCGAGCCTGAGCGGGAGCTACCCAACTTCGGGTCTCACGGCTTCTTCCCGTTCGCTCGATCGACGCAACGATCCGACCTGGATCCCCTCCTTCGGCGGGGCGGTCAGAATATACTCATCCCAGCGGGGTGAACGTAGTAGCCGCACTTACGGTTTTCGACCTGTTTCTTCGCAAAGCCTGTACGAGACCCTAGATTGCAGCATGAGCTGACGGTTTAGCAACCTCCCACATTCCCCTCTGAGGTTTGACGATATAATAGAAGAACTCGAGGTTCGAGTTCTGAGCATTTCGAAGATAGCTCCGATTATCTGGAGCGCGGCTTTTGAGAATTATTGGTGCGAGGTCACGGGTCATCCATGAACATACCTACTTGTCGGGCGACAGTTCTAGGCTCTGGGTCACAGGACAGGAAATAGCTGTCCTCTCAAGACAAGGTTCCATTCCACCGCACGGGACAAAAAAACTCGCAAAAATATCGAAAACGTTCAGGCTTAGGCCTTAAGGCTCTGAGAACGTCATGCAGAACGCATCAGTGACTCGTCGAAATATCAGCTCCTACAGATCACCTCTCGATCTGAGGAAGAGGAAGTCTTCTCAATTAATATCTGTTAGAGACTCTTTGCTGTTCCTCGTCGAGCCTAAAAAATTCGGCGCGCGTGCAGAGCCTGGACCTGGTCCCGAAGAATTCCGGTACTCGATCAGTCGGCATAGAGGCGGACTGATGAACTTGAGGCTCCTGCACGGAGGAATCGGCTCAATTGAAGAGGGCACCGAATATCCCGAGAGGACTGCGAAGAACTCCGTGGTCTAGACTAAGGCGTCAGGACCGCGAGCATTGCAGGCGGAAATCGTCGGTGCGCAACATCAGATCATTCTATTGATCCATCCCGGAGGAAAGTCTGACTGCGACAACGCCAGACGTCGTGTGCTTGCATTGAACGTTGAGAAGTAATTCACGTACACTGAAGCGTTATAGTATTTTTTTCACGATAAATCGCAATCTGGCCCGAATGAACGCTGTCTGCTGCGCAGCTGTCGAAAATCCCGAGTTCCGTGGCTTGCCGGAACTTCACCGTGCAACGCATGAACACGATAGAATCGTGCAGACCTCAGAAACCGAGCTCCTGAGACCCGTCCCCAGATTAAGAAAACACCCATCCGGAATCTCTACGTACTTACTTCCGTTTTTCGCGATGCCCGATCACCGCGCCTGGATGGTGTCGACTCGTGAGTATGAGGGTGAAGCTTTCGTGTGGTTCGAGTCTTATGGAGCAAATCGGTCTTTCTTGGCTGGCTCCCTTAACGAAATTGTGTTCCACTCTCCATTGGAATCCGTCTAGCTTCACGATCGAATTTACGTGTCTAACATTTTTGTCGACTCGAGGCCGCATTTTCGAAACGCGTGAACGCTTACGAATCAAATCTGCGAGTTTTCCGAAGTGGAATCTCTGGTCCCATATCCAAGTCTCGAGTCGGCATATCATCAGTGATCTAGACGAGAACGTATTTTGGGAAGAAGGATCTCGTTCAGAGCCTCGGCTCGAATCATCGGGATCTACATTCACTCGGCCGTTCAAGCAACATAACTATGTACGAGGATGTACGAGTGTTTACAGAAAGGCCCCTGTGGGCTATTTGAATCCGTCGGGGAGCCGAAAAACATGGCGCTAGGGATAAGATATCTAGATCAAATCCGGCAGAAATCAGGTTCAGGGGCGAGGGCATTTCACGGTACCTTGTATGGCCCGAATTCAATGACGGGTAGATTCATCTGCTTGATTGATCTAGGTGGTCAAAGTGCAATTCGAATGTGCCGAGCACTCGACGACCCTCCTAATTCATGAGATTCTCGACTGCTATCAGATTCTATAACTCCAACAACGAGGGTGAGAGACCCCTCGATCGAACATTAAGATTCTCGGAGGTCGACCAGGAGGTTTCGCCACCCCTAATTTGTCGGCAGGGTCATCACTCAACGACGCCCCCTACATCGCTCAGTTTTCTCACACCCCTACATATGTACGTATATCCTCAGACAATCAGATCCGCTGGGTCTGAAGACGATGAAGCTTTTCGTCTTGTCTCTATCAGAAGGCTGGAATTCATGGTCTTCAAAGCACTCGATTTTAATAATGACAACATTCTGATCAGACTATATCTTTTTATTGCGTACGAACCCTTTGATGATGGACGCTGTCAATAAATCGTAACGGGAAGAAGCAAACTTACCAAAAAGCTCCCTCAATCCTATGAAGCTTTTCCAAGAGGAAAAAGCCTTAATTTTGCACCGAGGAGGATCGATTCCCCTCGTTGGAAAAAAATCATGGGCGAAGCGAACGTTTGCGCTGGCGAACGAGAGAGGTCAAGGAGGAGACGTTTTTTCTAGGTTGGCGGTTCGAGATGAGGATGAGGGGCGGGGCGGCGCAGAGACTAGACGCTTTTGAAGGCGGTCAGTAGAGGCGCGAATAAGCTTCCGATAATTCCGTAAATTCACTATTCACGTGTCATCCAAGAGATTCCCGAATATATTGGATTGGATGAAGCTCTCTCGGAACGTAGCGAGAATCTCTATCGTGAAGAATATGATGATGAGGGCGATGATGTAATGCAATGGTGATTTCGAGACTCTACGCGGATAAGGCGGAAACGTCGATAGTCGGAGGGAGGCGAGTCAACGACACGATAAAATGGCGGTAAAATTGCAGCAGAGGCGGGGTTTGTCGCGGGAACAATCGGCCTGAGTATGCTCGGGACCGAAGATTTTCCATCGTTACCCGATTCGGAGATTAGCCAAGTCACTCACGGCAGAGAGCACTCCGAAGTCTGAAGATCGAGGCGTTGTCGTTGCGCTAGGAGACCAATCGTGCGGAGATAAACTGAGCCGAGGAGTTGATGCCATACCGAATCATGCAGAAGGATAACCAGTGGTGTCTGTCGCACATCTTTGCTGTCTGAGACTTGTAGGGCTTTAATTATCATTCAAATCATAGTAGGTATGCTGAGAAGTACTTCCGAATCCTTGTGAACATATCGAGTCATGTAGTTACTAACGAGCGCGCATTCGAGCGAGGCACCGATCCGGAATCGCTGCAGTACTCGCTTTGGATACGCGCAAGAATCGGGACGACTCGGCCCAAGTACATCGGAGTCTATCCTTCGTGAACTCCCGTGTTGACAAACGTTGCGTGGATTGATTTCGGCGAGATCAACGTTTCGTACTAATGATTTACAGAAGATAAACGCATCATTCGATCAGGAGACCGTCATTCGTCCGTCGGTGCACGGAGACAGCACTCTGGTCGATGGAAAGGATTCCAATCCAGAGACTCATATTCTCTCCCATGCGCTGTTCAACGCCTCGCAACACGAGCCGGGATCGAATGTGCTTCGACCTCAATTTCACGAACAAGGGTCGCACGGATTTCTCTGTACCGCTCCTTTACAAAAATGTTACGGCAAGCGCAACTCCATCCCAGGAACGCACCTACGCCAAACGGTTGAGATAGCAGTTCGAGGACACGGAGCGGAAAACCATGAAAAAGTTGCGTGATTCCAAGTCAAATCTTTCTTTCTCTGTCGAGAAAGCTCGAGACGACTCGGAGCCAGCCGCTCGCAGATTGAACTCGTAGGATGTCACGTTGCATCCGATCAACGCCGTCGGGCCTGAGATTAAAAGAAACGGGAAAAGCTTCGCTTGATCTCTACTCTGGTGTGTACACTGGTCGCGACGACAAGGTGGTCTCTTTTTTCGGTATGATTCGCGTCTTTCTTTTCTCATGGAGAGCTTGCTGTATGAAGATGATTGAAGTCGACTGAAGAGAGAGAGAGAGGCTCATATCGAGGCGGGTTTGAGAATTCTCCGATGATCCGATCAAATGTGAGAGCATTCCAGCGAAGGGACTCATCGACTGTCGAATCAAATGACTCACACGCTTCGAAGCGTTTCCGACGGCAAGACTTGGGAGGTATTTGGTTGCTGGAGCTTAAGATAGGTTGCTTTCAGGTCGAGCACGCATTGGCTGATGAGTTTGGTATGATTGGTTCATGGAGGGAGATGAGGATCGATCGGTCGAGATATCGTGGATTCAATTGACAAGCAACGCGCGCTAGTAGGATCATATGAAGCAAGGTCGAATAGTTCACATCGAAAGTCTACTAATACCGGGAGAGATGATTCGAAGTTTCGACGGGCGAGTGAGCGAGCGGTCGGTCGGTCGGTAGATCGGTCGGGCGGGCGGGTGTACGTTTGAACGGTCGGGTTGCTGATTGATTGCGGCTTGTCGGATGAGTGTCACGATGACAGAATTCGGACGTTCTCTCGGTTTGTCGACGATTTCGAAGGTATGGCTCTGTTTCTCTCTCGGTACGGTTGGTTGATGAACGGCGATTGACGGTGTGAAGATTGATTGCGTGCGTACGTGCGCTCAGAAGTTGCCTCGATAAGCCGTCTAGCTTCTTCAGTGTGTCTCTCATTTTGTTTAATAATGGCTGCGGAAGGAAAATCGGTTCAAATTTCGCGGGAGACGCGTCCTCCTCCTTAGCATCGAGTACGGCCTTTACTTCTGATTCGTTCATTGAATGATCTTCTTCCCATTTCTCAAACTCGAATTTCATAATTCTTCTTCTCTCGCAGGCATGGATTCATGAACGGACCAAAGCAGATTCTTCTCCAACGACCTCGGTAAGAGAATCTTTGGTTTTTTTCTTCAGCGAGGCATGAAGGAAGTAAAGAAACGAAGGAACGAGGTCAAACTCGAAACGAGGGCGATCTGAGACGACTCCATCCTGTCTGGCTGCCTGTCGGACGGTCAGTCGGCCAATCAATCAGTCAATCAATCAACCAAGCAATCGATTCCTCCGTCTGGCGGATCCCGTGGATATCTCGCTCTCGCTGGTTCAAGACCGGTGTGGAATACGGAGACCGATCGGTTCTCATCGAAAACCCATAGAGCTCGGACACACCGAAGATCGGACGCGAGAAGTAAAACGTAAATCATAATTATACGATAACGAAGTCAACCAAACCTGAAACTAAACTCAAGAGTAAAAATCGCGCATCGGGACGGGATTTGAATCCGTTCGAGCCTGATCGAAGCGTATCGGTCGGTCTGAATGAGACGAAATATCGAAGCCGAGGCTCCTCTCCAGCAAGCTCGTGTAAACGATGCAGCAGAAACGATCACTCGTCATTATAGAGAGATGCTGCTCGCCCATCAGTGGAAATCGCAAAAACAGGGCGCTCACGATCTCTTCGAGAGTATGTTCCGCGATTCGAGCAGATCGTGTGATGGATTCAAACAAGCGAGCCTTCGATAACGTCGCCGCCGCCACCACTACCACCACGACCGCCGCCGCCAGCGCTTCGAGATCGTGCTCGTCACAGCGTCCTCCGGAGTGATCGGGGGACAAAAGCGTGTTTCATACGAGAAGTGTTGTCGATGTCGAATGGCGATCGTATGACGGCCCACTTCTTCGAAATTCGCAGAGCGAGGCTGCGGTCGCTGGTTTCGCTGCCACCGCCACCTCACGATGACGGTCGGTCGGTCGGTCAGTCGCTTCTAATTACTCGTTGACCTCCGTGCTGCGACACGAGAGCGACAATGATCATGAACGCGTTTAGTTCTTAAGCTCCTCGCTACGTGTAGTTTACCTCTGGCTCACAGGTGACCTGGACCTGTAGCGTCTCTCGTTGTCGCGGCGGCCTCCACCATCTCGACGTCCGAAGTCTCTGCCTCCGTTGTTACCACCTCCCCCGTATCCTCCACGGCGGGAACGATCTCCGTACGAATCTCGGCCACCACGGTAGCCTCCTCCGCGTGAGCCACCGAAGCCTCCGCGTCCACCGCGGAAACCCCCTCCTCCTCCTCCTCCTCCTCCTCGGCCTCCTCTCGGACCGCCCCGGCCACCGGAGCGTCGTCCTCGCGAGGGTTCCACGCGGAGGGTGCATCCGTTCACGTTGGCTCCGTTCATCTCGTTGCAAGCCTCGCTGGCGTCGCGCTCATCGTCGAATTCGATGAAAGCGAAGCCCGGAGGGTTCTGTGCGACCCAAACATGGTTCAGCTTCCCGTACTTGGAGAACTCGCGCTCCAAATCCTCTTTGACGATGCCGTCGGTCAGGCCACCGACGAAAATTCGGTTTGATTGGTCTCGGGATCGGTCGTACGACTGGAACGAATGGTAAAACGATCAGTAAATGTACGCTGCTCCTCAGATAGGGCTCGGAGCGATTGAATATGGCGAGACTCCGGGGTTCGGACGCGAGGCCTGAGGATCACCACGGCGGAACCCTGGCCTCCCTCGACGCGAGCCCCGGGACTGAGGCAATCGAGCAGCGTGAGTCCGAGCTCTCGACTCAAGGACGCTGCCACGTAGACGCGGCTTTCGACTTTTCTCAGTCGGCGGGATGCTTTAGCACGCGAAGGTATCTCGATTCTGAAGCCAAAGCGACGCTCTTCGATCGGCGCCATGCACACGCCCCGCCGACGCCATTGGCTTCGAGGACAACCTCCAGCCTGACCTAACGACGCCTCGGCGTCACCGCCTCACGCGTCCGCGGACCTGGTAGCGAGAGCACGCAACTCAGTCGCACCGACACGGTCCCGGAGAGATCGCGGCGTCTTTCACGCACATTTCCGATGGACACTCACCATTGTTGGAAGTAGATAGAGGATTGACGCCGGGAGCTGAAATGATGCCGCCAAGAGCAAACGACAAAGTTCGTGTTAGCTCTCTTGAAGAGGGACTGCGAGACTCTCCCACTACACCACACCGAAAGGGCGAGAGGGAAGCGTTTGGCGGGCGAGTTTTTCGCCGGGGGCTTGGGCGCAAACGATGACTTTGAGCATGGTCGAACAGACTATACCTCGAGGAAAAGCGATCGAAGCCTTTGCTAATCGAATACGATCAATCTGAGTGCGCGCGTTATAAGATACCGTGTTCGGCTACGGAACCGTATCGCCTCGTGTTCTCGAGGCGGCCGCTAGATTGGCGGGATGCTTCGCTGAAACGCGATCAGACTTGCATTGTAAATTGGGAAGAGTGCTGCGAGTATGTTCCGCGGCCCATGCGGACCCGGTCGGGCGAGACGGAGCGTAGATCGAGACTTCCGCGGGGTAGAAAAATTACACGCGGGTCCGAGAATCGAAAGCTCCTCGAAGGAACCACTCCCGCACCGCGCCGGGTCAGTTTCGTGACTTCGGGGTACCGGCGGGGGTCTGATGGACAGAAATGAGTTCCGGTCCTTCATATTGCCAAAGATGCCCGCGAAAAAGAAGATTGTAAGCATCTGATTCCCCGCGAGCTCGTAGCTTCGCACCTTTTCGAAACAGCCCGAATATATCGTAGTTGATAGGAAAGCCGCCAGGGGGAGCCCTGTCACAACTCGCCGGTCGTAGAGCCGGCGTCTCTCGTTGCTGGGACACATCTCACTGGTGGCCGGATCACATTGATTTGAGCGGTTGCAACCCCATTGAGTCAGATTCCTCAGCTCCCTATGGTGAGTTCCGCGGTTCCTCGGTTTTCAGAGCGTGACTCGCCGGACACGAAGTGGAGTCGTGCCGGGGGAGTCGTAGAGAAAATGAACGGTGACAGATTCGCGGTTTCGGAAACGCGTGATACATCATCGACCAGCATAGCTTGCAGAGCACAGACTTCGCTTCCCATGGGGTGTCGAGCTCATACGGAGAGAAGTTCCGCGCGTTCCGTGCACGGAGAATTCCCGCTCTCTCTTTCGAGAACCGTGTATGGTGTTGCATCATTCGGTGCTGATGACAGTTGTCCTATGACAGAAGTTTTGTTAGGGTTAGGGGTGTCGCATGATGGCTCTGAGATCGCTGCGTGAAGCCGAAAGAATGCTGACACGGACATCCCCAGAGCGTGCAATCGAGATCCCATGCCGCATCCGAGCACTCTTTCCGCTCTGGCGGCCCTGCCGCATATCCCGAGTGTTCGAACAGAGAACTTCACACGCTCATGCAGAAGCGGTTTGTTCCCGTTCAAGAGAGGAATGACCTCTCCGATGGCGGAAAAATACGTGGTCTCACAGAAGTCGAGCGAGCCCTCGCTTCGCAGCCAGAGCCATATAAGATCTGGGCTTCAAGGAAGCTCTCTGGTCGATCTCGGTGACAGCGTTCGACAGCGCCCGCCGTTCCATCGGGGAGCGGAACATATGTTCACGACAGCGATTCCACTCCTGTCATCTCCGATGAAGACGATTGGATGAACGGTTGACTAAAGACGCCGAACTCTTCCTCAGGATTCCTACGGTGACAACATGCGCGGAGGAGGTGGACCCCGCTACGGCGGCGGCGGTGGTGGCGGCGGCGGCGGCGCCGGTGGAGGATACCAGCCCCGCGAACAGCAAAACCAGAACCGTATTTTTGTTGGCGGAATCAGCGAAAGCATTCAGAAGGAGGATCTGGAGAGCGTTTTCTCCAAATACGGACGTCTAACCAATGTGTGGGTGGCCCAGAATCCTCCCGGTTTTGCATTCGTTGATTTCGACGACAATCAAAACGCTTCGGACGCCGTAGCCCAAATGGACGGTCAGGAACTCAACGGCATGACGCTGAAGGTGGCTCCGTATCGAGGACGTCGCAACAACCGCGGCCGTGGAGGTTTCCGTGGTGGTGGAGGTGGTGGCGGACGTGGAGGTTTCGGAGGTCGCGGTTCCTACGGAGGAGGCCAGCAAGGCGGCTATGGCCAGCAACAAGGTGGTTACGGAGGCGGTGGTGGTGGCGGCGGATACGGCGGAGGCAGCTACGGCCAGCCAAGAAGCTACGGAGGTCACCAAGGCGGCGGTGGTGGCGGCTACGGCGGAGGATACGGGGGCCAGCAGGGAGGATACGCACCCCACGGTGGCTACGGAGGGGACAGGTAAAATACCTGAACTCGCGAAGGCAACGATAATTCCGCACCGTGGTTTCGTCCGCTGAGCTCCACTCGTCGATGATGGATCAGTGACGGAAGTTGTTTTTGTTTGCAGCGGCTACTGAGCTATCGAGCTATGCAGTATTGATGGACTCTGATAGCAGCAACTGAGACACTAGTTGTTCCAGTCTGCGCCTCACCCCACAACGATTGGAGAAGGAAGGATGAAAAAACGGAGAAGCCGGAGAACGCAAAAAGGACATTGAAAATTCCCCGATTCCAAACTCTAGTGTCGCCTCAGCCTACAGCGGCCCCGCACCGCTCCCCTCGCTTTATACGTAGAGGGTGACGTGCACAATTTTCACGTATGTTTCTTGCTTGGAGGGTACAGCCCCGCTTTGTCAGTGCTGGCCTAGTCGGGTGCACGACGATTTGGCGAAGTTCATGTACAACCATTACTATGTACGACTACCATTGCTGTTGCTGCTGCTGCTACTACAAAGGAATTCCTCCTGAACGTCGAGGAGAAAGACGACGCGATATCGATTATCGTTGCTACATTCACAAGAACACCTAGAACGTCAGCCATGACAACAACAGCTATTGATTTCGTCAGCAAGACTTGGCCGACCTAGCAAAGAAGGGTTGTGCGGTGTGCTATTCATTCACCGTGTGCCCTCCGGTGGAATTTATCACTGACCAATGACAAGTTGACATTTCCGAGATTTCCGAAAACAAGCAAACTGGAAAGTAAATCCAATTTCCGCTGCATTCGAACGAGTGCAACGAGACAGAGACAAAAAATGAACGAGACAAAAGTCATATACGAAAACGATGGATGGATGGACTCACCCAGTCAGAGACTGAGTCGACTTTCATGAGACTGACACGCCGACGTGGAATACAAAGCCGCTCGTTTCCATTTGCCAGTATTATTCAGTCACCGAAGACCTGCGAGCATCCGAGCGGAGCTGACGATTCTTTTCGTCCCGATCTCAGAAACTTTACTTCCATCTGACATGAGAGAGATCGACGAAACCGCAGCCGTCCCAGACGATACAAAACTTCCAGACAAGTTTACAACAATCGCAACCGTTTCGAAAATACAATTTCCCGATTTGCCAAAGATTGCCCAACAACAAACTTTTCGAGAATTGAGGGCTTGACGTTGTCACAGTGGATTTCACGATTTTGCTCCTGTGTGTTTTGAGTTGAATTTTCACTTGAACTACCTTACTATACAGAAGAGTTTATCTCAAGAGGACGAATCAGAAAACAGTCGTGACGGGAAGTTGACCGCGGAATTCAATGCGGCTCCTTCACTAGACAGCTATCTCTCTGTAAGTGTACACCGAAGTCTGAGGAATCATTTGCCGCTAATACACAACAATACGTGAATCATTCATGCATAGGAAGAAAAATGAACAGAATAAAGGAAAACGCGTCGTCAAACCGAACCCTTCGCCTTTTTCTCTCCCTAATTCCGGAGATTCTTCCGGTCCCTCGAACGTCCCGACGGTTTTCTGGATGGAAAGAAACCCTATCAAAGTCTTGCCGAGGGCCGGCTTATCGATCGACTCGGATTTCTTGGAAATCGGCCCGAAGATATAGTACACAGAGGGTCTCCCCAGAAATCATCCGATCTCAGAACATCGTTTATCCACGGGTCGGGAATGGCATGGCTGCCGAGGTGTCCGGAGATCTCCCAGTCGCATTCCAGATCGGGAGGAGAGTCTCGCCCTCCCGTGTTCTTACTTCTGACACAACGGGAGCATATCTTCGGGGCTCCCCTTGCGATGCGGTGTGGCACCCTTTGACTTGAATCGCCCCTTGATATCGCACATCCGTCAGCCGCATCTGTAAGTCATTCCGAAGATGATTACAACAATGATCGGGGCCGAAGAAGCCCTGTAATCCCAACGAACCCCCCTTTCACGGATATGGGGTACCTTGCTGGATAGCCATGCAGATTTTCCCTAGGTTTGCCCTCGGAGGGACCTCCCGTGTTTGCTTGGGCCCTAGATCGGTAGCGTGACGGTGAGATCGATCTCCGCACTGGTAGATCCCGAATCTGAGCAGCAGTGACTGGCTCATCGGCAGCTGTTGGATGATTGTACCTACGTACGTTATTCGAGTCATCGAGTTTGAGCCAACGATTCGCTGCAGGAGTCTCGATCAGACTGTGAATAGTGCTAATCACAAAGTCTCAATATGCTTGATCGGGGAATAACGTCCACAATATTGGAAGCGTTTCGGCGAGGCGATCTACTCACGCTTTCGCAGATCGATTCAAGAGCTGGTGGGGAGCGGGAGCAACATTTCAGAACACCGGAGCATCATGGAAATATTTAGGAGAGTAAATAGGAGAGTATTTACTGAGTCTCTGCAACTGTATATCGATCGTGTCCTGTCTGCGGTATACGAAACCGCTGAACCCAACAGAGACCGGTAAGTCTGCTTGAGCTTCCCTTCAAGTCTTGGCGAGCGTTCCGAACCGAGAGTTCGGATTTGAATCATTCCTCGAAGGCGACGGTCAGCCGCTCCAAGTCAACGTGACAACATTTGTGTGGTTCATCGATGACATCGACTTGATAACATCCGTGAGTTTCTTGAGAATCCGTAAGCTACTCCACGAATCTGCTTCTTCCGGCTTTTTCCAGTACGTCGATTTTCGGAATCGAATCTCGGAGACCTTGTTTCCCGATTCCGAATCAAGACGGAGTTTTTGGGTTACAGACATTCTCCCTAGGCTTGATGGTTCGTCTTCGGTATAAGGTCCCGAGGGAAGTCTGCGAGCAATACTTCCTGATGGGGGAGCGAATGTGGATATCGAGACCTAGCTTCGGCAATACGATATCGATACCTGGCGAGAGTGTGAGCATGTAGTCGAGAATCGGAAGCAAACCGTACGATTCGTTTGGGACATCCCTACATGCCCATTCCTAACTCAGCCCAGGGTACGTCCTGTCCGCAGGTAAATCGGGTCTGGGTACCGGACTTGTATCTCGAAGAAGCTTTCGATGTTCATTTCATGAATCCGCTCTTGAGAACTGATTATCTCGAGCTCACGAATCTCATCGATGATACCTCGACTGGTCATTGCGTCGGGAAGTACGTGGTCAAGTAAGTAAGAATCGAGGACATACTTCAGGATTCCCTCACCAATTTTGTGTCGCTTCAGTGATTCTACTCCCATCGACCCCTCAAGGTTCGTCGCCAAAGTCGCCTGTCCTACGGATCTGACTGGCTATCCGATCGACAGTCACAACTGCGAACTTCGTTTGAGGAGCTGTGGGTGGCATCGGAGTTTCATACAGGATGATTCTAGAGCCAGGGATTGAAACAGCGATTATTATCGAGGATTTTTATGTCCCTCCCCCAGTCGCCTACGGGCCGGACCGGGTGCGATTCAGGGTCGCGAACTTCTCGAAACCAGCTTTCGTGCGGAATCCCAACCTGTTGGCCAATACCCTCCGAGTCTCCTACCGAGCGGATCGATCAGCCGACCCGGGAGATTCGATCATCGCAACGTTCAAGTTCAGCCGCGGGATCGCCAACGCTTTCCTGAGCATTTTCGTACCTTCAATCATCCTGGTTTTCGTGAGCTCTTTGACGCTGGCCCTGACTCGTGAAGCAACCCTGCAGAGGGTGAATATGTCTGTAGTGGTGCTCCTCGCTTTCTACACCGTGCATAATGACGTCAAGGACCAAATGCCGCCCACCAGATCAGGCACAGTTAGTTGGACCTTGAATCATGACTTTGCTCGGCCTCAGCTGCTGAGCATATTTTTTTCAACAACAAGTTTTTTTCTGTGTAGTGGGTCGACGTGTGGCTCTTAGGTTGTACTTCATACATCGCCATATTCTGCGTAACTTCTTTGCGTCTGGGCGGATTACAAGGAGCGAAGGTGAGGAGCAAAAGTCGGCATCGTTCTCGACATTTAGAGGAGCTCCGAGAAAGTCTATACTCCACCATCATTTCAGACACGAGAATCCGAGATACGACGGACGAAACAGGGTCAGCAGATTCTCGCTCTCTCGTTCAGTGTTCTCGTGATTGTGTACTTGGTACTTGTTTGCCTGGAGAGTTATATCAAGAGCTCCGAGTGATCATCTGTGAGTCTATGACGGGTAAGGAGAAATCACTGCCGAGTCGAAGGCTTCAACAATACATTCTAGACGAACCGGCCAATAAGATCACCCTCGTCAATCGAAAAACATTGCTACTCAACTTATCTGCGAGATCGCGCAGCAATCGTGTGAACTATTTTCGGCAGGAGCGCCGTTCAGCGCCACCAGAGCGAGGAGGAAACGGCTCGGACGAGCATTGCGTCGCGGCGTGCCGACGGAGCCATACGGTGAGCGGGAATGGAAGACACGAATCGCTACCATGCCATCATCGACGATTAATTGGAGTGCGGAGCCAGAAGTTATCTGGGGAGGCTTCAGTTGCGGGGAAGGGTGTCCTCGAAGAAACGTCTCTCAGGAATAGCTCAGATGGGATTCCAGGCGTCGTACGCGGGAGGACTCGAAAATTCAGATTTTCGCGCTCGTGGAGCAGGTGATCTTCTACCTGCATCTCCATTCGCGTAGAAATAAAAGTTCTCCTCATGCTTCCAAAGCTACTGAGCATAGAGGCAAGAATGATCCTCTGTCTCTCTGGGCTCATTGAGAGCATGTCTTGTGGAGCGCAATATATTCGGGCTCGCTCTACCGATGAGGCATGCTTCATGAGTGGATTGAGAGGAGCTACGTCGAAATCTCTCAAAGGAATCCCGAGATTCGAGCTCGCAGAATATTCCAAGCTTTCACGTGGAGATCCCGGGGTAGGCTCAGGGGGCACTGCGCTCGATAGTCGCTAGGGAGCGAAGATACCGAGTCTATCGATTCCGTCGAAATCAATACTCGACATCCCCCTCGTCAATCAATCCTCGTCACCTTTCAAGAAATACTATGATTCATATCCTCGACTCCCCGTGAGTGAGTCGCCGAATGAGCAGTTGATGGTCTCAGCGCTCGCGGTGTCTCCGTCGAGGTGCAGGATGAGACTCACCTCTGCGAGTCATGTTCCCGGAATGAGGGGATTAGCGTATGAAGCTTCAAGACGTGCAGCGTGAAGATCCGAATCCGAGCGCTTCTCGAGTCGTAGTGACATAGAGCTAGAGACGGCAGTCACCAAGAAACCTCGTCCGTGGCCTGTCCGGAATTCTCATTCATCTGGTATTTTCCGTGAGCCACAACTAGTGAACTAGCATCTTGTCTGAAGGATCGGCATGAAGTCGCTCCAACGCCGGGTCTTCGAAGCACGATCCTCGATCCCCTAGACGAGCATTTGAAGAGCTCAGAAATAGGAACCATCTTGAGTGAGTATTTCTGGCATCTGGAGTTCCGGACATTTCTTGAGATGATCTTCCGATAGGTAGGCATCCGTGCAGTTGACGAAGAAGAACAGCTGATGTAGAGGAGTTCCTGCTGAGGTTTCTGAAGTGTAGCATCGATGTAGCTCGCAGCTCAGACCCACCTTTGTGTTGAGTGATTTCTTTTGAAGCCTCGCGGGCTAGAGCAGCCTGAGAAGGTATTGCCTGAGAACTTTTCCCAGTAATCTATGCGAAGATGAGATGTCTCTCGGTGACGGAACCCACTCCACGCATGCATCTAATGCTATGGAAGTCGCTTCTAACGGAACGTGATTGCCGATATTTCCTATCTTCTCGTTGGGCTCTGAGAGTGCTGATGGGGAGGTCAGGCAGGACGTGCGGAGAATCGTTCAAATCTTATCGCTTCTTAACAAAGTCTCCAGCAATCATGGAAACCGCTGAGTCAGCCTGCACTTGTCTGATAGGGATTTTCGCGCTTCTGTGGAAAGCGTTCGCGCAGAGCTCTGCAGAAGCAATACGACGCTTCGGCTGCATGCTGCCTGGGAGGAGACTGATCCTTCCTTCGTGCGAATGTAAGATTTCTCAGCATTTCTCATTGAGGCGATATCTGATCTCATAGAGATAGAGAAACGACAGCCATTTTTCTCGGATTCCTCCTCGATTTGCGAACGGTCGGTATCAAGAATTGCTTTGCGGTGCGACCATAAAACGTTTCGACGCGAGGCTGTTCCCAGAGCTGTCCATGGGGGAATCGCCTTGCCAGGGAAGAGTGATTTCCGCCGAAGAGATCTTGAGACACGTATTCGACCCATGCGGTCACTTGCATTGCGAGTCCCCGATCGACCGCAAGCGGAACAATGGTCTCCGGAAAAGTCGAAGACCGTTTCAGGAGCCTTGTAGGATTTCTCCCCTGGACTTGAGGCTCGTGGAGCGATCTTCGCATATGAGCCGATGGATGCTGCTTGCGAGTAAGGGAGCGGTCCGCCTCGCGGGGCTGCTTATAGATGCTTCGAGATGGGAAGCGACGACATTTTCGTTCGTCCGCAATCGTCGAACTCGATTTCCCCAACGAAAGTGAAGTCATGCAAGTCCCGAGCGGGGAATCCTCGAGGGATCCCCATGTTCCGTCAATATCACGGAGGAAGTATTTCGCATCCCTACGGAGGGAAACTTGCAGAAGGGAGCGACTGAGAAGCGGAATATTACCGGGACTTTAAACTTCACGGTATTTCGCGTAGCCTCGGGTCGGCTCCGAGCCGAAAGTATCCCCGCCGAGTCCTTCGATACTCCCTCCTGAATGTCGCCCCTAATGTCAGCTCCCCGTGTGTGTCATTCAGCCTTTTCTTCTCATTTGGAGTTTCCCGGCTATATCTTCACTCGCGTCATGGGAGGAACGCCCGAATTCATCGAGCGATCTCCAGTCTGGAGTGTTGTGTCTGATACAGCTGATAGTCGCTCCTCTCTATCGAAAACCAATAACCGGTTAGTTGTCCGAGGAGGTGTCTCGAGTTCACTGGAAATCTGTCTTACACTCCGTTCCTCTCGTGCCTAGATCGAGCCGCTCAATCGGGCTCAATTTCCGAACGGAGGGCTCGCTGCACGACGGGTCAACCCATCTGAGTGGTATCGAGGATATCGATCGTCGCAGCGTCTCCCGAACGTATTCAAACGGTGTGAAGGTCGCGCTTTCCTTGGGCGATTCGGAGATCCTTCGAGCGAGCGCATCCGTAAAGGGAGAGAACTATTTCCTCATCCCAGGCCATTTTCAAGAACCTCGCCATCGTGAACGGATCCGGATGCCCCGAAAAATTCGAGAATATTTCATGCGCCCCGAGGGCATGCAGAGTCTCGCTGTATCCTTGGAAACCTTTGGGAATCTTTATCCTAGCGTGAAAATAGCGACGATGCGTTCCAAATCTCCTGAGGCGCTTCCTGCGTCGACGATGAACCGAATGAGATAAACATCGTTCTACTTTCCTACCATGTTTACGTACCATTGTCACCACGAAGAGCGAGCATGTTGATCCGATATGACTGATCTCGAGGATTATCAGCCGGAAATCCGAGCTCGAATCCAGCTGGCTCGACTCATGGCATCACAGTTGTCTAAATATAGCCTGGACCGGTGCCCGCTTCAGCATCACATTCGAGTGATTATTCGGACATTTTGAGTAACGTTTTCAAGCAAACTTCCCGAAATCCCTCGCATAATCCAAGGATGGATGTCGCCAGTCAGTCAGTCAGTCGCGTGGCGAGCCGGCTCCCGGAATAGCTTGCAGTCATACTTTGTCGTCTGTTCCACCACCCAAACTTTTGCAGTGATTCGCGTGGGCGACTTTCTGAAGATTTCCCAGAATACGACGCCCTTAACGTCTTTTCCAAACTCCTTCTATAGTCGGGTAGTGAAGCCATTACTCGTTCCCGCGACTATTTTTCTCCAGTGCAAGCAGAAGAAAACTCGCATACATGAGGAAGGGGGGGCGGGACACTAATTTGTTACGGCAGTTGAGGGGAACGTGACTTGAATTTCCGTGGCATGAGCGCTCGACGAACGCCGTGGTTATGACACGGCACAATACGACAGTATTTCATGCAGGATGTCTCCAACGCGCCGGAGCCCTTCACCGATTCGTCATCTTGGTCAATGGCTCTGATTCTGCTCTGGTCGACTTGACGTTCCTCGGTGCTCGTCACATCGGGCTCGTCGAGACCGGTAGACCGCGGGAACTCGACTCCGTCGAGGGAATTCCATCGCTCGCTCGATGTTCGGCATCTCTGCAGCCAGCGACTGACCAGAACTGGACGAACCTGAATCATCCTTCCGCAGAATATTATTTTGAGAGAAAAGAGAGTCTGAGAGGTGTTTTTTTTGTGTCGGGAGAGCTCTCTAGAGGGGATGTATCGGAAAGAGGCCGATCCTTTCCTTGGTTCTAAGAGCTCGTGATCATTTATTCGATTGTTCTACTTTTTATCGGTCAGAAACTATTTTTGAGACCAGCCGAACTCGGAGCAGGTCTCATTTTATCTTATCGAGCAGAGCAAGCAGAGATGCTTCATCCCGGTATCGTCCTCAAGTCTTTCTCCTTTTACGCTGATTAGCCTCCGCTCATCCCGCGGCTCTTCGAGAATTCGCCCCTAGCTCTACTCGCCTTGTGCGCCCTTTAACTACGCCTTCTGCTAACATGCCTTCTAGATGGAAAAACTAGATCTGTACTCGTCGCTGGACGACTCTAAAATGGCGATTTGTCCTTCTCCCGAATTTCTCAGGCCCGCTACCAAATCACGGCCGAATACCGTCAGAAGAACAAGAAATAGATGGCAAGAACTATCGGGATGCAAACCGCAACGATGTTGGCGCCTCGGCGACGTCTCCCGTGGGGAACGAAAACTCCGACGAGGGGGTCCAAGGCTTCATCAATAGCGAGAAAGAGTCCTGACGCGAAAGCAATCCCTCCGGAACTTCTCAAGGTCATGTCAAGTGTCATGTTAAATCCTTGGTTCGGAGCGTTTTCGTTCTCGGCAACGTCGGGAATGTTCGGGTCAACGTCACTGTCTCCATCCTTCCGTCCCTGCACTCCTTCGCATCCTCCGGCAGTCTGTCAAAGGAAAAGTAAGTTATCGTTCGAAATTGACGTCTTAGAAAGGCCGAATTCAAACGACGCCCGCCCCTTCCTCGGACCGATTCTGCAACAAGACTGGAGGTAACCTCTTCGTCCGATGATTTCTTCCAGTCGCTGGATTTTCCTTCACCGAGCGTCTCCCTGGGTCCGTCTTGTTCACCAACGGCCACAGCTTCTAGTTTGAAGAGTTTATCGGTCTCACTCGAGAATTTCAGTATAGGCTGTGCGTTCTCTTTGAACTCCGGCACAGCCGACTCCTCTCGGTGAAGTATTTTCGTCGCCCGAGGCACATCGAACACCTTGAATATCAGGTCTCAAGTCGCGAGAATGTCGAGAAGCGCATGAGGGAATATGTCATCGAGCCGGAATGCAGATCCTAATGGGGAAAAGCTCACCGCGGGTTCCATCTCGTTCTGGAGTCGTTTGCGGGACAGGTTATCGAGAGCAGCGGTGCCTTGCTTCACATCGTCCGTAGGGTCCTCAGCCTCCGGTTGGTCTGTAGAGGGAAGAAAATGAATCTCTCTCTTTCAGCACCTTGATTTCGGAAATGAAAAATACCGAAACGATGCCGAACTCCGGTCCGACTGCAGCAGCGGACCCTGTATGAGGAGGTTGTCCAAGGACGTGTCTTTCATTGTTATCGTCGAATCGTTCGGCTGGACGCATTGTGTCTGGTACTGGGGACGACTGAGAAAATCTGGGAATGAATACAAGAACTTTCTTTGCGGGCTTCGAGCTTGAACTTCAATATGTTCTGATTGTGACAAATACTTAGGGTCTTCGCCCCGTGAAGTCATCTCAGATTCTCATTGACTGAGACTCACCACTGCCTTCTAGCTTCAACTCGAGGGATTCTTGAGTGGGATCGGTCGTCGCTTCACAGACAGGTTTCGACTTGATGGGGGACAGCATGTCTTCAGGAATGAAAACAACTCCATTAGAGCGGGATCGTTCTCGCCGAATGTCGCATCATCGAACTCCATTCTCTCCCACGACCAGTCGAATGCTCGGAGTGGAACGAATCAGAATTGCGTAGGACGCTAATCGGATAGGAAACTTCTGGCGGAGTTTCATCTCCCCGAAAGTCCTACGAAAACTCCAGCCGATGAGGGTAAAACAGATAGCTCACCGAATTGTTTTTGACTGGCGAAAAATTGATCCACGGCGCGCGGTCTCCGAGCCTTCACAGTTCCAGCCTCCGCTTCGAGATCGATGAGATCATTTTTCGGCGGACTGATCTCGCCGGCTATCGCACCTTCGCTAGAGACGTTCTCATCTTTCGTCTCAACCAAATCACTCGTTTCTTCGATCGCTGATCTCAAGACGAAGCTCCGCGTTCTTAGAAGTTCTCGGCAACTACATCCTCAGTGCTTTGAAATTCGAGATCCTCGAGAGCTCTAGCGCGTTCCCATAGTGGGCAATGTCGAAACTGTACCTGTGAGGAAGCGGGTGTTTTCCATGGTTATTTTCGTTCCAAGAATTCGACAGGAGCGGAGTAGTGAACTGAGGATCAAGACGACATGTGTTCGGTGCACAACCGGCGTCGCACACGAGGTATTGCATGCACGTGCCTTGCTGATCCAGCTGCCGTCGAAGGACGGAGCGAATAGGTGCCGCCGTGTGGGATGATCCACGCTCAGACGCCTTGTTCAAGATCGGAGACGGGGATTGTTTTTCGTCCCCTGAACTCTCAAGATGGAATCTTCGGCGAGACTGTCCTCAATCAACAGATATCTGACAAACCCTCTGGTCGTACTATGAACGTTCCGCTGGCTATGAGGAGCCGCGCTGCTTCGGAAGAAGGGCGTCGCACTCGACGAGTTTATCGAATACATTTTCTCGATACAACCCACCCCGGCTGTATCTTGAGACCATCTCGCGCTTCAGTCCTTTCTAGGAGGGACGGGCGGGGAGACAATCGTCTGTCAAGAATATCACGATGTCTGCAAGTCTCTTCGCCAGTGTTTCAAAGATGTCCGAGACATTCACAAGGCGGGTCTATCCCACGAGTTGTCTCACAGAACTATGACTAGAGTTGTCAGCTATTCGATGCGAGATCCGATCGATTCGAGCCCCGGAAGCGGGACATGCGTAGTTCAGCGCTCCAACACGGCAGATTTACATACGGCAGAGACGACTTACATGAACGAACCATCGCTCGGAGATCTGGGGAAACAATTTCCACCAAAGGAAAGAGAGGTCACAGCCCACTGCGCGGACCAAGGCGACCAAACCTTGGGGGAAGATTTTGAGAAAGTATCCTGAATTCAATGAGAACTGTCACCCGTCACTGAATATGAGCATATGAGCATGCATATCAATTGGGCAGCGTTTCACTAGAATCTCAAGCGTGCAGTGAGGGATTCCAAGTATACGTACCTCTCTGTCGATGGCCTTCCGATAGCAAGTGTCTGGAGCCCGGAGTGCGTGGGCACTTGGGAACATGAGCTAGCTCACGAAGTTCCCGGAAAGGACCTCGAGTTATCAAAGTAATCAAATTTTTGTCGCATGTCCAACGATCACAATCAGGGACTGATTGAATCAGCTCATCTCCTTCGTCGCACGTGCTCAGCTCCGTCCTGGCGGCGTGGGAACGAATACGATCCCAGTATCCGCTGAAAATATTGGGATTCCGAGAGAATGTCTCTCGCGATGAGGGCAAGGCTCAAGGACACCAATAATTCTCGCCGGTGATTCGTAGAAATCAATTTTCGCGGGCGATTATCAGAAGGGATAATGGGTGTGAGGGAAGTCATGTCAAGATGATACATTCCTCTCTGTCAGGACCCATGCAAAACCAAACGCTTCGTATGCGATGATCCGCTTTCTAATGCATCGTCACCGATAGGTATCTCATCTGACTGCTCATCAGTCCTTATAAGATTACGAGACACTGAGCTCGGTGATAGCCCTCCTTACTCGTCTGAGGCTCCTCTTCGGGAGGCTAGACGAAGTCGATGAAACAACCTTCCGCCGCTGTATTAACTCGAAGGTTTCGACCGAGCGTCGTTCGCAAACTTTCTACGCTACGTTTAATAAGCTTGGAGACTCTAGCGTAAGTATTCAGGAGTTACGCCTGCTGTCTCCCTATCACCATCGATAGGGAAGGAGCGAATATATCGCCCGCTCGTCGATGATACTGAAGCGCACAACTATCCTCTCTATACCGAGGAGGTCTCATCGTGCGTTCTCAAAATCCGATGGTCACGACTTTCTCGAGGGAATCCACGAGTCTCCTCACATCATCACCCAACCTATCCAGCTCTTGCTCTTTCAATATGTAAATCGGACTAATGGGGATTCCCCGTCACGTTGAGGCAGACAAGACGACGCCGACGCTGCATCTCCTGTCACGGAATACGGACTCAGCCCAGCGGAGATATCAAATAATAGATTCTCTTTCGGGAAAAGTCGAGGTCGGAACGATACGGCCTTCATTCGTCCGGTCTGCTCGAATTCAATGTCCTGCGCCTGAATGTCCAGTCCCATTCAACGACGTTGTGGCCTATCGCATTGCTACTCGCACAGATCGGAGACACAGGCCTTGCTTCGGCATACTGACATTGTTAGGGAGGGAGGGGAACGCGCTCCAAGCGATGGAATTTGCATTTGAATGGAATATCTCAAGTGTTGAATACGGAGCCGAGCCGGGAATCTTCGCATGGTGACGTGCCTACTCCACACCATCGTCCGGTCTCGCTCACTTTCCAATGAGTTTGTTAAAGTCTCGGGAAGATGTTGTCAAGGATCGTGAAAGGTCGCGTGCCTAGGGAATTCAGGAATTCGGAGCCGTGCATCAACGTGACAGCTTTTACCGAGAACCGGCTCGTCGCGTCTTCTCGACCACGTTATCAGCACGCGCCCCTCGATCACCCCGATGAGTGTTCAGAAAATTGATACGCTCACAAAACTTCGCGGAATATTAGGCATCAAGGACTTAGACTCGCCTCCAGACCCGAGGTCTAGGCCGAGACCGACGTTGATTCATTTGTTGGTGCTCAGGTTGGAAGTTATCCCGGAACGGAATGACAGGAGGAAGAAGAGGAATCCGCGAGGAAGAAATCCTCTTTGAGTTGTCGCCGAGCTATCCGGCGTTCCGTCAATACTATGCTAATTTCGCATTTGAACCATCCTCCGGAATTCTCAGATCGCACTTTTTGTCAGGGCGACAAGATCCCCCTCGTTCCGCTGCAGCTCTCACGAGTCGAGATCCCGAGTGTCGAAGTGGAGTTTAAAATGTTGAGCGATCGCTTTGTTCTTGTTGAAAGCCGAGCACTCAGCCATTCGTAGCTTGCGTGCTGTTCGAGAAGCCAGAGGGTTCTTTGAGAGTAGGTCTTGAGGTGAGAGCCAGCGGATCCGTTAAATTCAATATGGGAAACCCTCAGTGTAGCTCTTGAGAAGTTTCGAAAGTATTTCCTGCCCTAGGAGTAAGATAGAGGGCGAACGGTGTCCTCCTGGAGAATATTCGGTCAACGATTCCCTCCTCCCTCGAGGAAACCAGCCGAACAAGCGATAGAAATACACTCGAGATCTTAAGAATACCGAGTCCTCATGGGACAACTCCCTCTTGTGAATCATCGTGTCCAGCCGGCGGATCAGTGTTCGAGTGGAATAGGGCTCGACATCCTCAAATATTCTCAAAACGCTTTCTGGTTGAGACTCATCCTGCGGGAGCTCTTCGCTCCCTCCCCATGGAGGTTTTTTCGCTCTCCGAGTCTATAGAGGAAAAGAAACAGACAGGGTTAGCTAGAATTCCTGAGAGAGAAGTCATATTTCTCCGATTTGACTCGCAGCCCCAATCCCCCTACGCGAAAGGGAGCCAACATCGAGGGCTCGGAAGGTCTTCGATCCGGAGGGCTTGGCCATCAAGGCCGAGTGCTTTCTCGCTCGTATCAGCAGCAGTGATCACCAGCGGAGTCATGTATATGGAAATATTCGAATTCGGGTAGCTCGCTCATTGAGGAATCATTCATGAAAACTCTTCCTGCCGATGGTCTCAGATGATATGGCGTCGTAGCTGATCGCGCAAAAGCGGTTGCGAATCGCCCCCAGCAACTCGGGTTGCACTTGTATTTGAATATCAGAGTCACTGCAGCGCCGGTTTGCGCGTGAGGTCAGCGATGCTTTGACGAAATGCAATCGAGCGAAAGCGTTCGCCTTCGAGGGAGCGAATTCCGATCCGGAACCGGATCGACTCGCCGGAATTGAAGTGACCCCAGGGTTATCAAGGCAAGTATGAGGACGCATGCAATTTTCTGTCGAGACGTCAGTCGAGCTGGACGGAGGGCAGCTGCCGGAGGAAGTGCCACAAGCCGCGACGTGATTCCCACCCTTCTTGAAGCGGGACGTGCGATGGGGAAAAGCGTCATGCATCGCCGAACTTCCGAACGATGCTAAAACACGCTCAAATCACAGCAGGTAGCGCTTAGAAATCACAGATTTCCTCCTCCGAGTCGGTTCGCGGTTTCCGCTCCTGGTTTGCCTCGATGCCCTCGTCAGACTCGAACGTGGGACTAACACCACGAGATAGAGCGGCTCACAGGGGACAAGACACTCCATACCTCGACAGGGAGGAAAGAGCATCAGAATGTTCACGTTCTCGTGAAGTCGTCGGAAAAGAGTGATTTTCGGTGATTCTAGACGGACCGTTCGAACTCGGTTTCGATAGCGGCTCGCGCAGATTATGCGGAAAGGTCCAGATGGCCTCTGTAGTATGAGGGAGCATCCTTCGCATCCCATCAACGGGATATTAGGCTCGCGACGCCTGTCGAGGGTTATGCGGCTGATCGGAGGGAGGCAACTTCAAGGGGAGCGTTCCGTAATATCATAGTCCCCGAAGAGTTCAATGGAGCCACTGTGGTTGATTGCAATAATCTCAAGTACAACTCGGATCTCGGGGGAAATTTATCGGCTGCATGTACGTAGCTCGTTGATTCTCCTCGTGGCCAGCCATGAGCAAACGACGGGACAAATACCCGTAGTCGTACCTTGACGTTTCCCCTCTCTTTCCCTCGTACGGGATCCTCGAGCGGCAAGCGGTGCAGGGAAGAGAAGAGCTCGTCCTGCCACTGGGGGAATATTCGAGAACGGCTAGCATGAAAGATGAAACGCAGGAGAAACGACGACTCCTTCCATTGCTCACGATCGCCGCAGATTTGAAGATTTTTTCTGAGTTGTTTTTTTATGAATTACTCGATCACTCCCCAATCAGGTTCCTCCTTCCGTGCGGCTGAGCTCGAGGCCTGCGACTGACAGCGAGCTCGAGATTGATTCCTCTCGGAAATTGGAGTGACTCGAGTCTCATCGTTCGATACTGAGAATCTGTCCATCGTAGTAATCGCACGGAGTCGGAAACCTGCAGAGCATCGCGGGAATCCTCGCGTACAGCGAATCCTCGGCAGCGGAGTCGGATCGATCCTTAGCGCGGAGATATTTGGTCCGAAAACTCGACACGAATCCAAGCCGTAAAGAATACACCGAGGAAGTTTGTGGTCACCTGGTCACCTTTGTGGTCTCTTCTAT